TTGTTGGTATCAAACCAACAGTGGGCCTTACTTCACGTTCCGGCGTCATCCCAATCAGTGAGCACCAAGACACCATTGGACCAATGGCTCGGACTGTCAGAGATGCAGCATGGGTTCTGGGGGCGATTGCAGGCAGAGACGCGAGGGATAATTACACACTTGCTTCACCTGACCCGTCTGTCCCCTTCTATGCCGGTGCCTGCCAGTTGGACGGACTGCAAGGGAAGAGGATCGGCATCCCACGGAATGTCCTACCCTTGCTAGCCATGCAACCGAACGGCCCTGCTGTTCTCTCCGCATTCGAAGCCGCAATCTCTGTACTCATTGGGGCGGGTGCTACTATTGTGCAAGATGCGAACTTCACAGCTTGGGAGGAGTTTCTCGAGAGCAAGAGCGTAACACAGGTTCTTTGTGCTGATTTCATCTCCAATATTGAGGGTTATCTCTCTAAGCTGGAGACTAATCCGAACAATATACATACGCTACAAGATCTCAGAAAATACACCCAGAATGACCCACGAGAGGATTGCCCCAAACGTGACACGGCCCAATGGGATGCAGCACTCGCCGTCGGAATCAACAATACCTCTCCAAAATTCTGGCCAATGTACCAAAATAATCTCCGTCTAGGAGGAGAAGGAGGTGTGCTGGGAGCTCTTGCGCGCCACAAGCTCGATGCTGTCATTCTTCCTACATCACTGGCTGCCTACGTCCCATCAGTCGTCGGTACGCCGGTCATCACGGTCCCGCTTGGAGCGTATCCGAAGGGAACGACAACCGTATATAACAAGTTCGGGAACCTGGTTCAGGTTGCCGAGAACATTCCTTTCGGGATCAGCTTTATGGGCGCGCATTGGAGGGAGGAACCGTTGATAGGTATGGCATATGCGTTTGAGCAGCGAACCCTATATAGGCAAAAGCTCAAGCGCTATATCGAGCCACATACTGAGATTGCGGGGCGGCTAGAGGGCGGGGACGATAGGGTGTGTACATAAAGCTTCTTGCATATTAGGTTATGGGTCTTTCAAGTAGATGACAGTTAATTTAAGCTCTTAAGCTCTTTTAGTTCGAATGTTTTCGTCCGACTACTCCATGTAAACTCGGAAAAGCCGCCGAAACCTCAATATGGTACTACTACCTAAATAGGACTAGTCTCAGATCGCCGGGTTCCGATAAGAGCAGCTGAGAATCTTCGCGCGGGGTCATCTTGAGCCCTTTCATTTTTGAGAATTAAGGCGCAACTGCCTATACGCTCCCATTTTCATATCTTGACTCCCTAAACACCTAGAAATGGGAGATATTGAAGATACTTGCGCCTCCTTGCGCGCCCAGATCGCCGCCACCGAAGCACAGCTGGCCGGGTTGAAACGCGAACTCGAGAGCGCAGAGCAAGCGGCTATTAAAGCCAGGGCGCAGGACGCTCCAAAACCTACCGCTACGACTAGCACCCAAGGCAGTGAAACGAGAAGGTGGCCGCTGCTGGACGAGGAATATCGACGCTATGGAAGACAGATGATAGTGCCGCAGGTGGGGTTGCAAGGTGAGTGGATTTCTTCTCGTCAACAAAAGTCCCTTGAGGTACAATTGCTAACAAACCATTCTTCAATATTATAGGTCAACTGAAACTTCGATCTGCAAAGGTTTTGATTGTCGGAGCGGGCGGCTTGGGATGTCCGGCTGCGCAGTATCTCGCCGGAGCCGGGGTGGGCACACTGGGACTCGTGGATGGGGATACGGTGGAATCTTCGAACCTTCATCGGCAGGTGTTACATCGGAGCAAGAATGTGGGAAAGTTCAAGGTCGATAGTGCGATTGAGTCGTTGCGCGAGTGAGTTTGATCTGCGTGCCCGCTTTTCAATGGCGGATGCTAACAGGCGACTTGCCTTTAGTTTGAACCCTCACCCGACGTACATAGCGCACCGAGCTCATCTAGCGCCCCAAGATGCGGCGGATATTTTCAAGAACTACGACCTCATCCTCGATTGTACGGATAACCCGGCGACGCGTTATCTGATCTCGGATACGGCTGTTCTGCTTGGGAAGCCGTTGGTTTCGGCTTCTGCTCTGCGGACGGAAGGCCAGCTTATGGTGCTGAATAACCCTCCCCGACCGGTAGGAGAAAAGACCGGGGGTCCATGCTATCGCTGTGTCTTTCCTCGGCCGCCTCCGGCGAATAGTATCATGAGCTGTGCGGATGGTGGCATCCTTGGTCCGGTTGTCGGTACAATGGGTGTACTGCAGGCGTTGGAGGCGATCAAGGTGATTACGGCTGCCGATGACGAAGTCAAGCCTCCATCGCTGCATATCTTTTCGGCCTATTCTTCCCCGCTGTTCCGAACTATTAAACTGCGTTCACGCCGACCGAATTGTGCGGTGTGCTCTGCTGAGGCTAGCGTGACGTTGGAAACCGTTAAGTCAGGGTCTACCGATTATGTTTTCTTCTGTGGAAGTGTCAGTCCAGAGAAGCTGTTGCTCCCGGAAGAGCGCATATCGCCGCAGGAATACCGGACGAAGTATCCGGTGACAGCTTCCAGCGAGGCTATCGGAACGGTCAGCAAGGAACCCACGATCATCGATGTTCGAGAGAAGGTCCAATTCGACATCTGCAGCTTGGAAAACAGTATCAATATCCCTATTTCGTCGATCCTGTCGTCGACGACGAAAGCTGCCCGGAACGACGAAGTAGCCAATGGATCGAATCCACTGCCCCCCTGGCTGCCAGCAGATATTGCCTCACCGGATTCTATCGATCCGATTTATGTTGTGTGTCGACTCGGAAACGACTCCCAGATCGCAGTCAAACAATTGAAGGAACTGGGCCTGGACCGCGGAGGCGAAAGAGTTGTGGCGGATATTCGGGGTGGATTGCGCGCCTGGCGCGAACAGGTTGACCCCGAGTGGCCAGAATATTAACAAGATAACCATATATGTACATAGCCAGCCAAAACCACAAAAAATCGCAAATCGCAAACCACAAGCCTCATCAAACATAACATCCCAACCCATTCATATCATAAACCTCATGAAGAAGACTCATCTCACCGAAACAGGCGCCTCCTCCAACCAAGCCCAGTCAACACTCACCCGCCCCAGATCCAAATCCGCCAACTTCTTAAAAACTCCCCGACTAACATCCAGATCCTTCACGGCACATCCCGTACCTAACACCTTACACTTAGCACCAACCCCGGCGCGGAAACCAAAACCAAAGCAAAGAGGGAAAAAGCAAAGAAAAGCAAGGGATACATACACCGATCCACAACCGTAACATCAACACTCGCCTCCCCCCTCTTCAACCGCACCTTCATCCCACAAAGTGGATTCGCATTCGGATTCGACCCCGTCGACGCAGCATCAAAGAGAACCTGCGATACCGCGCAGACCATGTCCGAATTGGAACTAGTTATTCCGCATGAACCCAGCGCCGGGTCGTAGTATGTTAGGTCGCCCGTGTAGGGACCTCCGTTGGTAGTGGGGAGGGGGAGGTTTTGTTTCCTTTTTGAGGTGTGGTTAGAACTTATGTATGGTTGCGATTATGCAGCTTAGGATAGAAGACTTACGAATGCCGGGTTAGACCGACTGCGAGACCGATTATAAGGGCGAGGAGGAGTATGGCGATTGCGATTGAGATGAGGAAGATGCGTTGTTTCTTTTGGGGACGTTGGGTCCATTTTGCCGGGGGCCATTTTGGGGTTTGGGGGCGGGGTTTGAGTTCGTCAATTGTTGGAGCTGCTGGAGCTGGAGCTGGAGCTGGTGGTAGAGGTGGTGGAGGGACGGGCTTGCGTTTTGGGATGCTTGTGGGTGGATGGGTTTCGGGGTCTGGGGTAGACATTTTGAAGGGTTCAATGTGTTATCCATCTGGGGTTGGAGGTGGATATGTGGAATTGTAGATGGGTAATGGTAATGGTAATGGTAATGGTTGTGGGGTGAGGAGAGGGGATTTCAATCCATTTTAGTTGCTTTGTTTCATTTCTGGTTTGTTTGTTCAGGGGTAGATGAACTCTTGGCGGGTTCTTTCGTTTTAATTAATGCATGGGTGTTATCGATTGGGGTTTTGTGTACCTTTGGGTGGTCATAGTAGTAGTGGTCTGGATATGTTGTTGGCATTGGTTGAGTGTCCGAAAAGATTTAATGGGTAAAGAGTGGGCTAAGAATCAATACCTATAGGATTATTGTATAGAACTGAGGAAGTTATATCATCATATCTCTTGGTTGCGATGCACCGATATTCGAGAGCTCATCCTTGTATGGCAGTTAACCTAATCGAGTTTAGAAAGGATATACTAGAGATTGTGAAGAGTGATATGGGACTACTAACCTAATTCAATTGATAACCTCGGTTGGAATCTGACTAAGATATTCCAATGCTTGATTGTTAGTCGAATTACAATTCAGTAGAAATGATACAATCGGCACTCCGATAATGATTGATTCTTGATACTACGCCGAGGAAATGTACCGTACTTTTGCTTGAGGTGTGGTTGACTCCCTCCGAAAGAGTTTGATATCAGGTGCCGTTTCACGTGTTTTCCTTGATTTCACTGTTTGTTCGGTAGCCATAAACCTGCACAATGACGCAGATATCGCTCTTCCCCAGACTTCCCGATGTCGCTTTATGTGGGGACAACATCCTCACTCGCCGTTCACAGAAGGAGAATGTTCTTGGCGCCGATCGTCGTCCGCGTCGTCTCGGCTGAAATCCGTACTCCATCCCCACGTGGAGTCAATATGAATTTTTTGATTTCGTCCTTGCCCGTTGAAACCCCTTGTTATCCCCACTCATTCTTTCCAACTGGAAGCGGCGACATTCCCCTTGAACCGCGTGGCGAACTGGGATAGTTTCATAGGAAATCGCTTCACGTCAAGTCACCTGGTCACGTGTTTCTCGACGGAAAGTTATCGATGAGGGGTTTCTGATCGGCATTGTTCATGATCCAAATTGCCGGGTGTCAGAAAAAGGGAACATAGGGGGTGCCCAGTAGAGCACGACGCGACTCAACATGTCGTCGCATCGCAGTTCTGAGGATTCGCAATGGCCGCTGCCAGATGAGCCTGAGGCACAAGCGGAGAGTAAACAAAAGAAGGGCCTCATGACGAAACTAAAATCAGGATGGAATAGTCTCGGCTTGGACAAGCCGACGATTCTCCTGATGATGAAGTAAGAGCACTTTATGGCTATTATGTATACGAGCTAATACATGTATAGAGGTGCTATTCCGCCGACAATTGCTCTGGCGATGTAAGGCCTTGGTGAAAAAGCTTGTCGATTAGATAACTAACGTCAATCAGGTTCCAGGCCGACGTTGTGGCCTCCAAATTCACTACGGTGGGGTATCTCATGGCCATCATCTCTGTCCTGGGCTTTTCCATCCAGCCTCGCGCCAAGTTTATCCAGATGATGGTCCTTGACGTGTTGGCCGTGTGTGTGGCATCCGCTGTTACGCTGCTCATGATGTACTCGTGCGTAAAGGCAAGACAGCATACTGAAGTGGTGTCGAGCGCGGGTGGCACTATTGTCAACACGCCGTACAACCAGTCGGCATCAGCTGTTAGCGGTGTCTGGTTATTCTTTCAGATATACGTTGTCCATTCGTTTCGGGCTAAGTTCCAGCAGTTCCAGTTTCCGGTTATCATCTACTCGATTGTTGCCAATGTCACATTCAGTTACGCCCCCCGCATGACTACAATGACGGCTGCCATAGCTATGGTCACGAAATTGCTTGAGGCTTGCCTAGTCGGCTTGGCCATAGCTACTGGCGTCTGCCTATTTATCTATCCCGTCACCTCACGGACAGTAGTGTTTAAGCAGATGACCGGTTATGTGGGATGCCTGCGTGGAGCTCTTCAAGCTCATACAGTTTACTTTGAGTCTCTGGAAGAAAGTGACATGTTTGGTAGGGCAGAAACATATGATTCCAGGGTGGAAAAAATTACCAAGGACGGCAAGGTGTACAGTCCAGAGGCACAAGCCATTCGAACAGCAGTGCAGAAAATCACCGAGATCCACGGTAAACTTCACGGGGATTTGACCTTTGCTAAGCGTGAGATCGCGTTTGGCTACCTCGGGCCCGATGATCTTCAAGCGATCTTTCGGAATCTTCGACAGGTCATGATCCCTGTCGTGGGTTTGAGCTTCACCGTCGACTTGTTCCAGCGCCTGTCTGAATACAATAAATGGAATTCACCCATTGATCCGACGGCGACTGATATACCGGACCTGGTACGTCATCGTGTGGTCCAAGAATGGAATGATATCATGCGGGCGGTGCATGACCCGTTCAAGTCTATGATCCAGGCGATAGACGAGGGTCTCCAGCATATCTCATTTGTGCTAAAATTGGCAAAGCCACCAAAGAAGACTGCTACTACTGCAAATGGTGAGACGTCATCGAGTGGCGTGGAAGATGTTGAGGCTTCGGCTGTGCCCTCTCCGGGCGACAAGACGTTCGCAGCTCATCTTGAACAAAGACTTCGTGACTTTAAGGTCGCTAAGCGAATTGCCCTTCGAACGTGGAGTGAAGAAAAGGGTATCAAACTGCCTAAAGACTTTTTTGACCGTCCGACGGGTGACATGGAAGACATTAGCTATGGGGATCCATTCATTGGCCGAGAGCGGAGTCAGCGCCAGTTGTACCTGTTTCTCTATGTAAGTATCTTCCCCTTAATGCCTCTCAGATGTTACCAGGTACTGACAATGGCTAGATGGAGCAGCTACTCAGCTCAACCGGTCAGATGGTGCTAGAATTTGTAAAGTTCGCAGACGACAAACGTGAAAGTGGAAAGCTTTCAAGACGCCATCTTATTATACCAGGCTGGAAGCGTTTGCGAAAATGGGCCACAAGTTTACTCAAGGCAGAAGACACACACGAAGATGATAATATAGGCGACATCAACGCTCAGAATAATATTCTTCAATTGGGCGAAGCATACAAGCACCGGAAGGATCCAGAGCATCTGCGGCCGGAGACCACCTTTCAGAAAATAGGTGACAAGGTCAGACTCATTCCTGCGATGTTCCGCACTCAAGAGTCGGCGTACGGTTTCCGGGTCGCGTGCGCCACCATGACCATTGCCATTGTTGGCCTCCTTCATGATACCCAGAGCTTCTTCATTAAGCAACGCTTTATTTGGGCTATGATTATGGTTAACCTTAGCATGACCCCTACCTCTGGACAGAGTATATTCGGCTTTGTGCTCCGTATACTTGGGACTGTATTGGCCATGGTTCTCAGCTTTTTAAGCTGGTACATCCCTGGGAAACAGACCCCGGGAATTATTGTCTTCTTCTTCATATTTTTAACGTGCGTTTTCTATGTGCCAATCAAGCTATTCCGCTTCCGGGCTATTGGCATTATCACCATCATTTCAACGTCCATGATAGTCGGGTATGAACTTCAGGTTCGCAAGGTCGGTGAACAAATCGCAACCTCGAACGGCCAGTCATACTACCCCATATATCTCCTTGCGCCATATCGATTGGCAACGGTGACGGGTGGTATTGCTGTGGCGTTTTTCTGGACGTTCTTTCCGTACCCTATTTCGGAACACTCCGTGTTGCGTCAAAGCCTGGGGGCCTCTTTGTATCTTCTGGCCAATTACTATTCGCTCATTCACGAGACTGTGTCTGCACGAGTGCGCGGTGAGGCAGGTGATATGGCGCTCAAGACTTCGGCGGGACGCAGACTTTTGAAGTCCCGTAATCAGGTGTTTTCCAAGCAGATGTTGATGTTGAATAACCTCCGGACCTACTCAGAATTCCTGAAATGGGAGGTACCGATTGGGGGTCGGTTCCCCAAGAAGCAGTATGATTCTATTATAGCATGTATCGAAAAGTAGGTATAACGTGCTTCTTCAAGACTGCCCAGTGAGCTAACCCTTCGATAGCATCGTGAGTTACCTGAGTCTTCTCGGATATGCCTCAGACACATTGTTGCAAATTGGTGATGATGAGGAATCAAACTCTGCCTGGCTCCATGATTTCAAACGGCTCGTTGCCAGCGCAGGTGTCACAACTCACGAGATCACCACAGTGCTATGTCTTCTTTCCGCCAGTATCACAGATCGCAGACCTCTTCCCCCTTACCTAAAGACCCCAAGACCGTACAGCTTTACCAAAAGGCTTGAAGCAATGGACAAGGACATTCTGAGCGTGAAACACATCGCAGAGCCAGGATTTGCTACCTTTGCGGTACTACAAATCTCCACTAGATGTATAGGCGGTGATGTGGAGAGACTTATGAAGTGAGTAAAGAAGTCAGTGTTTGTAGTGACACAGTTACTAATTTAGAATAGGGATGTGAAGAAGTTGGTTGGAGAGCTCGATTTCTCATTCCATGCTGTCAGTACAGTGCAGAGCGCCAAGTCATCTGCTGAGGTATCGCGATATTCGCGAGCGACCGAGCGGAATAAACTTGAGTAGCTGGCAAATACCCTATGATAGAGTACATATAGAGAGCGATTGTTTTGTTTTAATCATGTGGAGATGCCTGGATGATCTACTAGTCCTCTTCAGCCATTGAATACGGGTGCAACTGCCACCGATGTGGGCAAGGCCTAATTTACGCCTCCAGAAATACTAAAGATTCGAAATTCATCTTTCATATAATACAAGAACATGCTTCATTTACGTCGATTTTGACGGAGTATCGAACGAGATAGACATAACGCGCAGTACATAAAGGTCATTCAACAAGGCGCACAAATCGCTCAGCATCGCTCATTCGACTTTGAATTGAACGGCGTTCGACTCGAAATCACCCCGTTTTGCGTCTGAAAGTTGTTCAAGTTTGTCATCATGGACGTCACTCACAGGAGTTTCCCACACTGCATGCCACCTCCCCTGGGCACGGATCGAGAAGTCATGTCCTGACTGGAGCGGCATAGGTGGGAGAGTGACCACGGTGTCAACCGTGCTTTCTGGGGCGATTTCGAGCAAGTCATCCGCGGCGGGAGGCAGCTTGCGAGAGAACTTGATCGTGTCAAGTGGCACAGCCTGACCATCTGTCTCATCCTGCACTTGGAAAACCCCCAGGATGCCGGCTTTTGGATCGAAAGGGGTGCCCCATTTGAGCATAGTTATCGGTTCATTGGAGGGATTTTGGATAGACGCTTTGACAGACACAGCCGTCTGCTGGGATGATGCTTGGTCGATCGAAACCAGCTGCGGCGCGAGAAGGACTTGGAGAGCTACAGCTGCGCCCATCATGATTGAGGAAATGAAGGATTTAATGGGAACAAATTAGAGGAGGAGGAAGTGGGTGACGTGGAGATGTACAAGGTAGAGTATGAGACGTATGGCAGGGAGACTGCGGCATTTCAAAGTCGGGAAGATATACTGCAGGCAGGTGATTCGCCACCTACGCAAAAGCCAGCCTTGCTTATGTTTCAACTAAATGTCATCACGGCACTCGCAATGAAACCCAAGTTGCGCGATCGGCGATGATCATAAACCCGCGCCAATGATCGCAGGCGAACTCCCGGGCCAAGTCTGCGTGGCGTGGTATCGATATGAGGGGTATTCTCATGATTAATGATATGAGTTTATGGGGAAAGAAAAACCCTGCATCCGAGGCTGCAGGGCTTCTGCCTGGCAATTTAATTTCAATCTGCTAGAAACTCTTGGGTAGTATTCTCGGTGAATTATCTGTGGGGTGGACTGTGCGCTAAGCATTTTGGCGTTGCTTATTTTTCCGAGACCAAGACATCTTTTGACTAACACCATATTGATGGGTATCCTGACTCCGAGGTCGATATCTCGTTGATTCACCACCTTCTCAGCCTGAAGATCTTCACCGTGACAGGAACATGGCTCGAGAGCGGGACAACAGCCAAGACTCGGGAGACCGGCGGCATAGTGGCTGCCAAATGGTCGGTTGAGGCCAGATCCAACGGCCCCATCCTTATCGGTGGAGGCGAGCAGATCATATACTGAAACGGACAAAACACTGTCTTTCGGCCTCCGCCGGGCCAAGTCCCCTAAATCAGCTTAGGACTAAAGAAAGAAGCCTTCACTTACGATCTTGTCTCTCTAACTCGAAGACATGAGGCCGAGTTTTACCTTCGCCAAGAGATCCGTGATATTAAACAATGCAGCTTCGGATACTACCTTCTCTTTACAGAGAGAGATGCCGGAGCTATGCCCGGGGTGAGGCTTGAAGAAGTGCACAATGACTGTTCTGAGGGATATTAGGCAAGAACACCACAAGGCTATAAAAGCCCTCGTTGTTCAGCAGCTCTTCACTTAGGATTCAAGGCAATTCAAGGCAATCTATTTCAGTATCTTAACACATTCTATCTTTCTCTTCCCGCACCTCTCCTTTCCAAACCGCCAGAATGCGTGTCACTTCTCTCTCCACCGCACTCTTCGCGTTGGCTTCCACCGCTGTGTCGGCACCAACTGCTGAGAGCTCGTCTCCTGGTCTTGAGGTCAAGCTGACCCAGATTGATAACACTCGTGTGAAGGCGGTTGTCAAGAACACCGGCAGTGAGGAAGTGTCCTTTGTCCACCTGAACTTCTTCAAGGATGCTGGCCCTGTCAAGAAGGTTTCCGTCTACCGCGGCCGTACGTTTTCCACTTAACATACCAGACATGAATATCAATGGCATTTTTTAACATTCTTGCAGAGGATGAGGTCCAGTTCGAGGGTATCAAGCGCCGCCTGAGGAGCAGTGGCATCACTAAGGAGGCTGTCACTTCTCTTGGTGCTGGTGAGACTCTGGAGGATGAGTTCGATATCGCCTCTACCAGCGACTTGGCAACCGGCGGTCCCGTTTCCATCCGCAGCCACGGATTCGTTCCCATTGTCGTGGACGGCAAGATCACCGGCTACATTCCCTACAAGTCCAACGACCTGACCGTCAATGTTGACGGTGGCAAGGCCGCCAAGGTCACCAAGGCGCTGTCGCAGCTCACTCGCCGCACCGAGGTCACTGACTGCAAGGGTGACGCCGAGTCCGCGCTGACCACTGCCCTTTCCAACGCCGCCAAGCTGGCTGACCAGGCTGCCGAAGCAGCCGAGTCCGGCGACGAGTCCAAGTTCGAGGAGTACTTCAAGACCACCGACAAGCAGACCCGCACTACCGTTGCCGAGCGCCTGCGCGCTGTCGCCAAGGAAGCTGGCTCTACCTCTGGTGGCTCTACCACGTACCACTGCAACGACCCCTACGGCTACTGTGAGCCCAACGTTCTGGCTTACACACTGCCCTCGAAGAACGAGATCGCCAACTGCGATATCTACTACTCTGAGCTTCCTCCCCTGGCTCAGAAGTGCCACGCCCAGGACCAGGCCACTACCACTCTTCACGAGTTCACTCACGCCCCTGGCGTCTACCAGCCTGGTACTGAGGACTTGGGCTACGGCTATGATGCTGCCACTCAGCTGAGCGCTCAGGATGCGCTGAACAACGCTGACTCCTATGCCTTGTACGCCAATGGTAAGCAAGCCCCGACTATATGAATTCATACGAACAGTTGCTGACTGATAATAGCCATCGAGCTCAAGTGCTAAATGTGGAATGATACCTCATATACTCTGCCTGGCAGAGATTGTATATATGTCCTATATTCTAGGCTAGAGGCGTGTCTGTGACATGCACTGTTGAAATGATAACTAGTTATGTCTATACTATGATGCTCTTTGTTCTGGTTAAACGTAGACCGGTTCAGGTAATCCTCTGTTTCGCCAATGTCTAACTCTAAGCACATTACGGACTTGCATAGTATATCTTCCACGCCATCAGTGAAGCTAAGTAGCGAATGCGAATAAAAGCTACCTTACCTCGCGTGTCAGTCCCTACCGGGTATAACTTAGCTACTCCCACCTATCATAATCCGGAATATTCTCCTCAAAGTACGTCTCAGTAACACTCCTGAACCCAACCTCAGGCGCGCCAACAGACCATGGCCTCCCATTCCCACTAGCAAAAAGAGTAAAACTAGCCCCTTCAAAAACAAACCAGCCCGGCGGCACAAAGGCGAGCCACTTTGACTCGATAGACACCACCCAATACACCAGCGAGTCACCCACACTGTACCCAAAACAATAATAAAGCGGCTCAGCCTGAATATACAGAACAACACTATTCTCTATTCTCGTTGTGTTCAGCTTTATCTTATTATACTATCTCTGTCAGTAATACACCCACAATAATAGTTAGAGAATTATTTATACTTCAACTATTCTATTCCTTACAAGCTGAGTATAAATATATATTCCAGTACTATTTCTATCTGTATATCCCCGAATATTAATATCTTGATACTGGAACTTACTCAAGTAAATATCTATTCTAACTGTCTCACTCTGTCTCAGCTCAGATATAATAGAAAATAACTCTATATAAAAGATTATATTCAACAATATCTATTTTTGTAGAATAGCTGCCGGAATATCTCTGTCGCTGAGAGAGTATACATTCGGCCTAAATAGTATACCCCCCTTTTCCCGAAGAATAAAATTCTCTGTGTACAGTGTGTGAAACTGATACCATCCATTCTCAAGAGTAGATCCCTCGAATCTATCAACCCAGGTCTCCGGGGAGCCACTTTGACTCGATAGACACCACCCAATACACCAGCGAGTCGCCCACACTGTACCCAAAACAATAATAAAGCGGCTCAGCCTAAATATACAGAACAATATTATCCTCTATTCTCGTTGTGTTCAGCTTTATCTTATTATATTATCTCTGTTAGTAATATATTTACAATAATAGTCAGAGAATTATTTATATTTTAACTGTTCTATTTCTTACAAGCTGGGTATAAATATATATTCTAGTACTATTCCTATCTGTATACCCCCGAATACCAATATCTTAATACTAGAACTTACTCAAGTAAATATCTATTCTAACTATCTTACTCTGTCTCAGCTCAGATATAATAGGAAATAACTCTGTATAGAAGATTATATTCAACAATATCTACTTCCGCAGAATAGCCGCCGGAATATCTCTGTCACTGAGAGAGTATATATTCGGCCTGAATAGTATACCCCCCTTTTCCCGGAGAATAAAATTCTCCGTGTACAGTATACAAAGCTGATACCATCCATTCTCAAGAGTAGATCCCTCGAATCTATCAACCCAGGTCTCCGGGGTGCTCTGGTCTGGAATGTCACCGAAAGATTCACTCAAGAGAACTGGTCGACCGTCGTTGATGATCGGCCATCCATCCTTCCAAGTTACGGGCGAGAGAAATGTCTCTCTCCCCAATGGTGATGACCCGTTAACTTTCCGCCGGGCGATATACACTGCATATGAATCTCCGCTGGCGGTGTCGAAGATGGTAGCATGACCTGTCGACTGCACGGTAAGGTTATCGAACCCATACGCACCGTTGAATAGAATCGGGTTATTGGGGTTTGGGGTCCATGGACCCCGTGGTGATCGTGAGCGTGCGATGCTTGCACGGTGGAGGTCGTCTGTTCCGCCTATTCATATATCCATAATCATGATCAGCACGTACAACATCACATCCACATCCCAACCCAACAAACCGTCTCTGAACCAAACCCAGAGAAAAGGCGCCAAAGGTATACAAACGTAAAAGAGAAGAATAATAACAATACCCTCAGCAATAAGCAAATAATACCACTCCCCCCTCAAAAACATCTTCGGCCCCTCCGGTCTAGCACTGGCATCATGCGGCATCGTCCCGTTCCACAGAGACCGGTACTCATCTATACATTTCCCAGTCCGCAGATCCACTTGACATTGATAAATACCCCAGATCCCAGTTTCCTTGCTATCCGGCGCCATGAGATTCAGATAGACGTCCCCGGAAACAGGGTCCTGGAAAAGAGACGGGTCGATGCCCCATGGTTCGGCCCAGATGGGGTCACTCCAGGATTCTAGATCCGGGGATGAGATCCATGTGATTCGAGGCCAGACTTTTGCAATCGGGTCGTAGGTCCAGCGGGTCATGGTTGTTATGTAGAATGTGTTGTTTATGTGTGAGAGGGTAGGGGCCCAGGTTCCTTTTTATTTTTGGTATTGGCGTTAGTGTGTCTTTTTTGGGGGGGATAGAGAAGGGGTTGTTGATGTAGACTTACCGCCGCCGGTTGGGGTTCCGTAGAGGGCTAATTGGGATGATCTTGTTAGGGCGTGGGAGTGGAGGGTCCAGTTGGTTAGATCTGTGGATTTGTAGATTGGGAGGCCGGGGAAGTATTCGAAGGAGGATGTTGTGAGGTAGTATTCGTCGTTGAGGTGGAGTATGGAGGGATCGGGGTTCCAGCCTGAGAGAACTGGGTTTTTGATTGCGGTTATGGGGAGTATGAGGGTTAGGAGGGTGGATAGCTTGGGTAGAGGGGTCATTTTGTTGGTTGTGGTCGTCAATAGATATATAGACTTTTCTATTTGGCCTTTTTGGTGATTTGGTTGTCTTTTTATAAGGTTGGTTTGAACGGATGAGGTCCGGGAGATCCTCCGAGGTTTTCTAATCGTAGAGAGTAGGTATTTTAGAGGTGAATAAATATGTTTCTATGTTTGTTTTAGCTGTTGCTTTCTTTTTCTGATATATATCTACACTCTGGGGTCACTTGTGGTCGGGAGTATGTATCTGGATGAGTTTGGGGGAGTTATCTAATTGCTTTATGAAGGACCTAGACTTGGGGAGAGGGCGTTCGAGAAGAGTCAGGCTCAAGTTCGTGGAATGACTGAAAGCAGTTCCACCTCTGGGGATATAACAGATGTCCTGTATAATTGTGAAGTGTTGTTGTAGATCTACTGTGCTATATTGTGTTGATCTCTGGTAGAACCACCATATCTACAGAACAACACACGGAACCTTTCCCCATTACTTCAATTTCACCCCTCCTGCTCTTCAAAAACGGGTAAGTTCGGTTTACCACGGCCAAAGAATCAATTAAATGATCGGGCCTAATAGATACATGAGATAGTGAGACTCTGCGCAGGCACTGAAAAAGAAAGAAGCCGAGACATTCCAAGAGATAGAGAGGATCGCCGAACTGAGGGCCTGGAGGTGGAGGATGAGAAAGATAATGTTGAATAAGATGTGAAGTGATTGGCTTACTGTTCCATCTCCGGACGGGAACGAGACATGCTAGTTCGTATTAATTTGGAAATTAGGCGATAGTTGAGGCTTTCGTGTGAATGACCCCGTCGGCGTCCCAAATAGGAAATTGTTGTATGTAACCCTATGAAAAGTGACCAAGAACTAAGATGCCTAATGAGCGATCTTACATAAATAGACTCACTCATCAGAGCTGTTAGCCAATTTCACAACCCATTCTCACAGCCCCCGCCTCACCTCACCTCATCTCATCTCACCTTCAAACTCCAAAAAACCATACCCGAAATGTCCAATTCACCAACAATCTCCATCCTCCCCGCATCCCCAGAAGACGCGCCAACACTAACCCGCATCCACGGCGATGCATTCAAAGACTCCACACTCACCGACCTCATGTTTGGTCCTCCAACAGAGGAGAACCTAAAAGGGTTCACGGGCCAGCTCGCGGAGCTCATCGCAGGCGATAAAGCAACAAGATTCACCAAAGCCGTCGACAACGATACGAATAGGATCGTAGGCTGGAGTTGGTGGGATTTCCATCCCGATTATGAGACACGAGTGAAAGGCTCGGAAGCTTTCGCGAAGGATCATGCCGATCCACCTGAGTCTGCTATTAGTCCTGAGGCGTATAAGGATTATTTCCGGGGGGTGGAGGTGAGACGGGAGAAGTGGGTTGGTGGGAGGCCTGTTGCTTGTGAGTTTATTTTTCCTTTATTTTTTTTTTCTTTTCTTTTGGGAGGAGGGGGGCATTCTTGTTTGTTGAAGTGCTGGTGTTTCTTCTGCTGGAGGGTTTCACGATCTCGATACTAGTATATTCGTGCTGACACGTGACTCTAGTTCTCAGAGTCCTTGTCGTTCTCCCTGAGTACCAGAGAAAAGGAATTGGTGCGAAACTTATCACAATGGGGCTGGAAGAGGCAGCCGCTCAAAAACTTCCGGTCTGGTTGGAATCTTCAGAAGAGGGATACGCGTTATACAAGAAGCTGGGTTTCAAGGATCTTAACGATAGCATTGTGATTGACTTGGCTAAGTACGGAGAGTCAGGGATAACGACGACGGCGTGTATGCTGTTGGAGAATGGCAGCTCTTGAACAGAAACTGAATGGGTGTATTCATTACGGGGGAGAAAATCGCTTGGAACCAATTTGCAAGTGGATCTGTCTATTAAGCCGCGAACGGAGTTATTATCCTCGTTGTATCAAATTGCGTAGTCATGTTAGCCTATGTACAGCTATGGAAAGAAAAGGAAACCGTGGTATAAGAGGTCAAGAGTAAACCAAAGAAAGCGATGAGAAAGACAAGAGAGAATAAAAAAGATCAACAATCATTATACATCTAACCTCCAGTCAGTGCACGTTCAAATCATCAAACTTAGTGAGAGCGTCATTAAGTAGGCCTAATATCGACCGCCTGGTATGGGCATGAGGATGGACTTGTGATATAATTGTCAACGTAAGACATCACGAAGGGCTGCATGTTTATGGATCATCTCCATCATCTGCGTCTGGTTGAGCGGCTTGGGAAGGTAATCATCCATGCCCGCTGATATGCACTTTTCCCGATCACCGAACATCGCATGAGCCGTGAGTGCGATGATCGGGGTGTGCGGAAGCGTATGGACTTTCTCGTAGTCTCGGATTCTAAGGGTCGATTCAAACCCACCCATGACCGGCATCTGAACGTCCATCAATATTACATCATACTGCTTGTGGCGAAACTCATCCAGGGCCTCTTGTCCGTTCGAGACGACTGTCACGTTGTGGTGATACCTCTGCATTACTTTGAGAGCCACCTTCTGATTGACCTCGTTATCTTCGGCAAGTAGAATGGCCAAGGGGCGCGTTTCGTCCGAGGAACGGCGAGAAGGGCGACCTTCCAGAGCGGGAAGGATACCGTTTACTAACTCGATCGGACGACAGGGTGTTGTTAGATAGGATGTGATACCCAAATCCAAAGCGGACTTCATGGCTACTGACACCACGGGACACACTAGCACGGCGGGGAGAGTCTTGAACCGGTCGAAATTTCTTAGCTGAGATACAGAATCCATGGTGGGAGCGATCAAGACATCATATTGTCGGCGAAGCTCTTGACCCTGCTGAACCACTGTCTCTGTCGGTGGAGCATCATCCTCAAGCCTCACGACATCCACGTGGAGGCCCATTTGTTGTAGTGCCTGTTGGATTCGTTTTGGGTCCTCGTTGCAATGGCCATTGGCTTTCTCGACAAACAAGACCCGACAGCCCTTGTATGGTATAACATATTTGGCAATGTCCTTGACAGGGGGATCCAAGGATGTAAATGCGCAGGTGAAGTGAAAGGTGCTCCCGACCCCAACGGCTGAGGTGACCCATATATCTCCTCCCATGAGGTTGACCAGTTTCTTCGATATTGACAAGCCCAGACCAGTGCCACCGAACTTCCTTGTCATAGAGCCATCGGCCTGCTGGAACTTGTCGAATATAAGATCCAACTTGCTTTTGTCAATGCCAATTCCAGTATCCGACACTGAGAACTCGAGCAGGTACTTGTCCGGAGGGCAGGTTTGCGCGGCCTCCTTGATCGTAAGTTGAATTTGCCCCGTCTCGGTGAATTTTATCGCATTCCCAATGAGATTTAGAATAATCTGCCTTAGACGGAAGGCATCTCCGATCACACAGTCTCGGACTGAGTTGTTTATGTGGTATGTAAGATGGAGGCTCCTCTCACTGGCTTCAACTGCAAGGATTTTGAGGGCCTTAAAAACTGTCTGTCCCAAACTGAACGGAACAGACTCAATCTTCATATGGTTGGCCTCAATTTTTGAGATGTCGAGAATATCGTCAATAATCACCAAAAGGCTATTTCCCAGGTTATGGACCACGTTCAACATTTCCCGAGTTGGGGGAGGCAAATCGTCGGTGTCAAGGGCCAGTTGAGTCATGCCAATGATTCCATTCATGGGTGTTCGAATCTCATGGCTCATATTGGCTAAGAACTCTGATTTACTCTGGTTGGCGAGTTCGGCGGCCTCTCGAGCTGCAGTGTTCCTTTGTATGCTGTCGCGTAGATTGGAGATCATTTTGTTAATCTTTTGCTTTAGCTCGTCCATCTCACCGGACGCGCTGACGGTGATCAGTTTGCTAAAATCACCATCAGTGGCTGCATTGGTGATTTGTCCAAAAGCCCGGACCTGCGAGGTGAGATTGTCTGCCATCATATTGACATTGTCTGTCAGGGCTTTCCACTCTCCCTCGACATTGGCAACAACAGCCTGGCCACCAAGGGTTCCATCGACACCAACCTCACGGGCCACTTTGCAAACTTCGGAGGCGAACTGGTTCAGCTGGCCGACCATCCCATTGATGGTATCCTTGAGGCTCAAAATTTCCCCGTTCACATTGGCAGTGATGCGTTTGCTGAGGTCACCACGAGCTACAGCCGTGGTCACATCCGCAATTTCCCTGACTTGATTTGTGAGATTCATTGCCATCCTGTTGACACTTTCAGTTAGATCCTTCCAGACACCCTCAACTCCGTGGACGGTCGCTTGGCCGCCTAAAACACCATCTGTCCCCACTTCTCTTGCAATCTTTGTCACCTCCTGGGCGAACTGGCGAAGCTGGTCAACCATCGAGTTGATGATATTTTTTAGAGCCAGTATCTCTCCTTTGCAGTCTGCTCGGACCTTCTGAGTAAGATCGCCATTTGCAACGGCAGTGGTCACGGTTGCAATGTCCCTGACTTGCATAGTCAGGTTGTTGGCCATGGCATTAACGTTAGTCGTAAGCTCATTCCACATTCCTTGGGTGCCATATACCCGCGCTTGCCCACCGAGAACCCCTTCAATACCAACATCTCGAGCGACACGAATAACCTCAGTGGCAAATGTACGGAGTTGGTCTACCATAGTGTTGAAAGTATTCTGTAGTAGGAAGATTTCGCCCTTAGCAGGACGTTCAATTTTCTGGCTCAAATCCCCGTGGGCCACCGCCGTGGTGACCACAGCAATCTCTCGGACCTGGTTAGTCAGGTTCAGGGCCATAGTGTTAACGTTATCGGTCACTTCTCTCCATACACCATGCATTCCAGATACTTGGGCCTGGCCACCGAGAATACCCTCAGTGCCCACTTCCCACGCCACTCTTGAGACCTCACTAGCAAAAACCCGCAGCTGGTCAAGCATGGCATTCATTGTGACCTTGAAAGTGATGATGTCCGAGTCCATCTCCAGTGGGTGAATCGGGACTTTTGTAGATAAGTCTCCATTGGCAACTTTGGTGATGACCTTTGCAATCTCTTGCAAGGCTGTTGAAAACGCTTTATTCATCTGCTGATGTTTCCGGAGATCTACCTCGTGGTCGGGGTGCTTGTTCGCTGCGCGGTGACGTAGCAGCTCACGGAAGAGGCTCGAAACGACTTCTCGTGGAAGTTCAATTTCGTCTTTCTGTTCGTCAAGAGCACGTTTCACCAAAGAATAGTGATCATCGTTCGCGAACCCATACTCAGAGTTATGATCGACTTGACGACCGTTTGATATGTCATCTAGCCTAGAACCCCGTTTAGCCTTGTGAGATGGGCAACCTAGTTGAAATAAACAAACACGTACCATGAAAACTTCCGCTTTTGGGCCTGAGGCCTTATGGTCATCTCAGTATGCTGCCCGCACAGTGTGGACTGTGGTGAATATCCATTCTCTGAATGGGGCGGCGATATGTCACCCTCCAGAGCACCATTTTGGAGAGACTGAATATGGCCTAGGAAGGTCTGCAGCTGTCTCTCGAACGCTGACTTTGCATCACTTGGCTCTCCTGGTAACCGAAAGAGCAGATGACACACTTCCTCTGTCGGGGAGTTCAATGGTTGAAAGGGCTGAGGGTGATAAATGCCAGATGGGAAGGCAGATTCTAAACCGGCCGCCGCAGTCCTGAAGGCTTTCTCTACCGCTGCCATAGCCTTCGACTTAGGGGTACACCGCTAGTGACGGGTACTGTTGTGTCTAGAATAGAATACACAGTCCATGCATTATCGGTTCAATGCTATATTGGCAAGATACTGATTAAGCAGAGCGAGTGCGACGACTTTTGTCTGCTCAAACAAAATTAATTGAGCGTTGTAAAGCAAGATGCACTCCCTATGATCAGTGGGTAAGCCTTCTGGAGACTGAAATAGTGACTAAAAAGCAGAAGGTGCATTAATTCAGCGAAAACCCCATAACATATTCATTATGAAGTGAGGTGCTGCGGTTTGCCTTCGGGGGCGACAGGACAAAGATCGTAGGACCAGGGATACCATGGAAAGGGCCTAGTGAAGCTTCGCATCGAAGGGTGAGCGCCGACTTTCAGAGGGAAACGGCAGACACGAGGTGATTGGATTAGGGTGACTCGGAATCTTTAGCCTTAAATGTCTCCCCCCCCGCAGGGAAAAGGGCCATGGAGGCTAGACCAACAGTATGATTGAGGTGATGAGAAAGAAGGCTTGACGTTCTCTTGGTTAGTAACTGCAGTAGTAGGCACATGATTGGCCAAACCCCAGACCCATGGAATGGAAACAGCCATCAACCACCCCATGGTCCCTTAAAACTCTCGATTATCGTGGTCCATAGCAAGGGTTGAATTTGGCCACTGGCCTTTTCCCCGTCCGCCGGTTCTAGAACCTGGTTTATCACCCCATCCCCGCCATCGCCCGAACTGTTGATGACCTCATTGCTCCTCTCGTGCGGCCGACAATGTATTTATTCAACTAGTGTAGCCTTTGTGGCTTTTATAGAATTTTTTCACGGTCGTCAAAACTGTAATCTGTCCCATTGCTCGTTACTCTTCGTTGTGGTGGATTTATTGGGATATGGCTGGACCAAAAACCTACGAAGTGAGCCAGACAATTCTTAAATTTACCATCAAGATTTGCTGCACTGATTCCATGTCCTCGGAAACCTTAAGACTTCCTACCAGATTGGCCCCAACAGGGTACCTACCTTAGTTCTCCTGGGGTTGACTACCGCCAAAATACATCACCAGATCCATCCGAGCAATGGAATTTAGTTTCACATTATCAATTGAGGACGAATCCAGGTTGGCCGGGCCCGTCTAGATTGTTTGGGGTTTTAACGAAACGCAACGTCTCGCCGGATGAAGAATCCGAGATGCCTGCCCATACCCGTGGCGTAACTAGGCTTTATTTTCCTTGACCTGTGAGGAAATAAGGGAAGGAAGCCCACTGGCTCGGAAATAGACATTGAAGCCATAACAACTCCAATGTAGCTAGCTGATTCCCGATGCACCCATAAATATGTTAGTAGAAAGCCTGCATTAGCGCCTGCGAGACAAGACAAAGCCTTCATTCTTCTATTGACCGCTCCACGTACTTACTCTATTGAGACATGTCACAAGAACTGGCCTGCACACCACCAAATATTAACCTTTTGTGATAGGTGATTATTTAGTGAGATAGAGGGGTGGTGTCAATATATTGGGATTCATCATCAGATCTGTTTTTTTTCCTTCTCTCACGAACAGTTGTTTTGGGGCTGTTGTTGTTATTGTTGTTGTTGTGGGAGAGGGTCGAGGACCCCTCGCATCTACTAAAATACCCTACTTTTTCCCAAAGAGGAAATTATTGGTTTAACCTTAAAATTCTTTCCCTGCTCCCTTGATGCTCGCTTAACGAGCTGGTTTCATTCCTGCAGCTACAAAAAACGCTTGACTCACCGACTGACATTTCTTGTCCTCTGGCGTTGAGTTTTGCTGCCAAGTTCCATGGCGTTTTGACCCCGGATATTGATCTTCAGTGAAATTTCCAACAAAAACAACTCAAAGTATGCTAGTTACGCGTCCTGAGTACTCATCCTTTTCGAAAAAAAAAAAGAAAAACTACGGTCTAGGCCCATTTCACCTTCTGTTCCAATGTCCTTAATGCAGTTAGAGCATCGTTCCCTCATTTCCGGCGAATACTAACTGATTTGGAGTGCTTCCTATTTTACGTTACCCCTTGCTTTAGGTAGATGGGACACCTTGCCTCTGAGCTCCTCGAGCAACGCTTTCTTGATGTTTCCCCAAAGATGCCTGGAAAATGAATATTCCGTCCTTCCGTCAGACCTGGGAGCCCATCTCAAGCCAATGCCGAATATACTTGGGCAAAAGAGCCCGTATCGTTGGAAAGCAAAGGAGACTAGGACTCGTCCTGAGGGCATTCCATAGGCTCTCCGTACCAAGGACTGGCATTCTCGCCTGCAGCTCCCAGCGTGTCTTGTTATCGAGAACGGTTTCTTCCAACATCGGCATGAGTGGCTTCAAGGGGTGTTGAGTCTTTGCAGAAGTTCGGGACTGGCATTTTTCTACCCACTCTCCATACGGAACCTCGATCAAGGAGCCTGCTGGAAGGGCGGCGCTTATGCCCTCGAAAATCGCTGAGAGGGAAATCATCGCATCCCCGTGAGGCTCAACAAGGTTGTAAGCTCGACCGGAGGATTTGTTGGATGATGCGATGTGTAACAGCGCTAACACCACAAAGTCGACCGACACGAAGGCGTCGCGGTGCTCGGAGAGTGCAGGATAACAACCCATGCCCACACAACTAGGGACTACGCGACTGAAGAAATCCTCGGAACTCCCAATCCCTGTTTCGCTGTGACCAAGGACAAAACCAGGACGGTGAATGGTCACGGCTAGACCGTTGACGATCGCATTCCATGCAACAACCTCAGCAACGGATTTACTTTGCGAATATCCGGTGTCGTACTTCAAGGCCGCAAGATGGGATCTTGGATTTTCATCTTCCGGGATGTACATCGCCCCAGTCAACAGTCCCGTAGGGCCATATACAGAGGTGCTCGACATATAATGGAAGGCCTTCAGTCGCTTTGTGTTTCCGAATCGAATCATGTTCAACAAGCCTAGGACATTCGCTTGCCGGTGAGCCTCATAGGGCTCGATCCAATTCACGCGGGCTCCTAGGTGGAAGATGATGCTCGTCCACTCTGCGAGATAGTCAAATGTTTCGCGATGGAGACCTAGGTATTCTTTGGAAAAGTCCCCTGGAATGGTCCAGAGCTTTTCCATGTAGCAAGGTCGAAGCCCGTACCGGTCGAAGGCCTTGACTATACGCTTAATAGCTTCTATCTCATCGCTTGCACGTACCAAGCATGCCACTCGCTGAACATTTGGCCGAAGGAGCAGTTCATTCAATAAAAAAGTGCCGATGAACCCCGTTACACCGGTGAGGAAGACGCGCCCTTCGCCTTCAATTGTCCAGTCCACTATATCGCCCGGTATTGGCCGCAAGTCTTTCCCGAGATCCAAGTCTGGCTGCCAAAGAGTTTCATTTTTGTCTGTCCACTCCTCGCCCTTCCGCAGCGACTTGATAAGATTGATGAGTTCTAGTTGAGTTGGGTTTTCATATACCATCGCGATCCGTAGCTGGATACCGAGGTCCTCCTTTACACGAGATACCAGGCGGGCTGCATGTAATGAGGAACCACCCATTACAAAGAAGTTGTCATCTGGTCCCATTTGTGATCCAAACACATCCATCACAATCTGTTGAATCGGTGACAGAGGCTCGTACAACGTCATCCTCTGTCCTCTAGTCTTAGCGTATCGCTCAACCAGTTCCCCACGATCGATCTTATGGGTATTTGTCAGAGGCAAATGGTCTACTACTTCCAAACGCGGTAGCATGAGATACGGTGCATTCCTAGTGTACGCCTGTCTGATAGTCAATGGATTCGTATCATCGGAAATCGGTATCACGCAGGCTAGCAAAAGCGACTCGGCCTCACTGTTACCATCTGCATCTATCTTTACGGCTGCCGCCGCTGAAACCAACCCGGTCGCCATCAGAATAGCCTCGACTGCTTCGAGCTCGATACGGTGGCCTCGTATTTTGACTTGGTTGTCACGTCGACCTACAAACTCGAGTAACCCAGTTGGATTCCACCGTCCAAGATCTCCTGTTCGATACACCTGTCGATTGGAACAAAAGTGTCCCAGCTGGATAAATGCATTACCGGGCTTCTCGGACTCACTGAGATATCCTCCTGCGACTCCTTTACCGCCGATTACCAGTTCCCCAACTTCTCCACGGGGTAAGACGTCAAGGCTGTCATTCACTACTATGATCTCGTATCCATCCATCGGCTTCCCGATAGGAATAGTACCCCTCTCTACATCTTCTATTGAGATATCGTGGAATGTTGAGAACATCGTACACTCTGTCGGGCCATAAAGGTTTAACAGCCGCTTCGGTGGGCCATATTCTAGGACCTTCCGCACCAGTTGAGCCGTCACTACCTCCCCTCCAGTAAGGAGCGTTTCAACTGTTATGTATGCTTGTGGGTAGGCATTTATCGTCGCAGCCAATAGCGCTGGAGTTTGCCAGAGAACATCGATCTTATCTTCCCGTATACGTTTCACCAATCTGGCGGGATCAAGGACGGTGTCACGATCTAGCACTACTGCCGTAGCACCGCGGAGAAACGATCCAAGCGTCTCCATGATAGACACATCAAACGTGACATTACTAAGATGAGCAAATTGCTGACCCTCCTGGACCGGGACAAATGTTTCATTAAGGCAGAAGTTGAGAATTCCTCTGGCGAGCACCTGCACAGGCTTTGGACGACCTGTTGAACCAGACGTATGAAAGATATGCGATCGATATTGCGATGACGGTAGATCAATTACATCCTGTTCAAGCTCCTCACATACTAAGGTATGTAGCGACCTGTGGTCCACCACAATTTGACTAAATCCCTGAGCTTCCAGTCGATGCGAATTGGCTCGGTCGGTCAACAAAACGGAGATATTGATATTTCTCAGTATATCAATCAAATACTGGTCAGGATGGTTCACGTCTAATGGAACGCACGTTCCCCCAGCATATATGACAGCAATCTGCGAAACAACATGATCTATACCTCGTGGTGAGAGAATTCCAATTGGAACTTCAGTCTTCACTTGTAGACATCGGATCTGATAAGCGAGGTTTAGCGCTTTTGTGTGAAGCTGAGCGTACGAAAGATGGTACCCATCATCCCTTATGGCCAGCGAGGTTGCAAATCGCTTAAATTGTTGCGATAGAAGCCTCGAAAGCCCTAGCTCATGCGGGGCCTCCATTATAGCTGACCCATAGAGGCGGCAGTATTCCTTTTACCAATACATATTACTGGCAGTAAAGATGGTGTCTATGTCGGTATACCGGGCTCGACAATCACCTTAGTGCATATACGACCTATAATGGTCCGTGGGAGGTGGTGACGGTCCATTTGGGTCGTACCACTTGGTGCTACCTTTTTAAGTTCAAGGGGAGACGCCTAATGTGGAATGTCTTCCTCATTACCATACCTAGTGATTGACAGTTGTCTGTCACCCTGTGCTGCAGGCCGTGCGCTTGTACATGTGAATGGTATACGCAAAAGCCATGGAAGCCATTGATTAGCCCCTTAGGGTGCTGGCTTGCATTGTGCAAGCTGATTGATTAAACCTCACCGGTTTGTAAGACCGGATCTCCGGTCTGCGTAGTACATTGCGGGTCTTTATAATCTGAATCTTTATACATGGGTTGTTCAACAGGGACAATGGATTTCTTCGGGCAGAGATAGCAGTATTTGGGTAGCATGAAATGCCTCTAATCGTAGCAAGCCACTGGCATCAACTTCAGCGTCACTGATAAGATACCATAGGAGATCTTAGACTTATGAAGACTTCATAGAGAATGCCAGCGAATACCAAGAACAAAAGAAATGTCTCGTGGCATTGAAATCCCCGGTGGCTGAACCCCGCAGCTGATCACGTCAGTCACTCAGCCCTTTAGCCTGAACCTAACCTCAACCACCTGGTAACATTACATTCCATCAAAATCCTAGACAGCGATGTATAACGCAACAAATCAATCCAGGTCTAGCTTTTCTCTTCCAGGTAGCTGAAACGGTGGTTCTTATTACTGGTGACGCTAACGGTATTGGGGCAACAGCAACACAGCTTCGCTCTTCAATGTCTATCACGCCCAAAGTGGCAATATCTGATGTGGGAATAGGTCAGAATGCCGCAGAAAACCTTATACGGGAATTCCCCAGCCCGAAAAACCTGTTATTCATCGCAGCTGATTTTTTTTGGATTGGCAACAGATGATTACACTCTTCAAGCGCGCTGCGGAGCATTTTGGGGCCATAGATATCGTCATCGTCAATGCTGAGATGATGCAATCGCTGCCTGCCTTAGATCTAGATGATGTATATGGGGATGTGAATTAGAGGAGTGAATATATATAAGGGTTACGAGTCATTGATATTGATATTAAGGGGAATATAAAACAGTTGGTGCGCCTTATTTTTATTTCTTGCTCGTCCAGCGTGTCAGGTCAATGTTCCGTGTTAACTTTACTTCAAGCTCTCCATCATATGAAATTCAAACGATCGCCGCCGGGAGTTATTGTCCCAATAGCCTTAACGTCAGGTTGCTTTGGGCGGCACGGAAGTGACGGCCTACGTAGCCTCTAAGGATGGCGTCGTGGGACTGTTATGAGCATCACAGAATGTCGCTCGGCAATATGGATCAGGGCCAACGCTGTTGCGCCTTTCTTTACGGAGTACACCCACGCGACTTACTGCTGGGTTTGCGCACGGATGTCAGGAGGCCAATCTTGAGGCTAATATTCCCCAGCGCGTGGCGGACACTATTACGTACTTCGAGATGAACGAAAGTAGGAATGGATCAAGTGTTCTTGTGAGTTTTGGGAAATAAAGTTCTCTTAGTTGAGACTCTTCCCTATAGCAATGTGCTAATTCCATCAGGTGGCTGGGGAGTATCTCCGAGAATGGGGTTAATTCCGTGATGAATTGGTGAAGACATTGCTGTGTTTATGGCAAGGGCCATGCGTTACTTAATTAGCATAGGGGGGTATGTATTGCCCCGGTTTAAAATAGATGATCTTCCTGTGGGCTACGCCGTCAACGGTCGGAGCGAGCTGAACCGAACGAATGTCTCGGGAAAAACTGGACCTTCTTGTATATATATTGCAGCTTCCTTTTCTTGGATGATCTGCAGCAATAAAACAGTGAGGCGGGGCCTCATAGTGCTGTCTTACCCTACAGCCTTAAATCTACACAGCTCAACACAGTAACTCCACATGCAGAGTGCTGTCCAAGAAACTTCTCCAACGATGAGTCGTACAGCTCCAAAAGCACTTCACAGGATTCAAGCGGCGCCTGACTTCTTGCCACCTTGGAAGGGTGTCATTCCAAGCACATGTCGACTGACTCAATAAGTGTCTGAACACCGAGAGCCCCAGATCATTCGGATAGCTATCCAGCTGGAGCACAGCTCGTAAGTCTTGTCCTGTGCTCCCTGTGACATGATTCACATACCAGCTGGCCATTTACCCAATAATAACTCGCGGATGTGAGGTGTAACGGCGAACCTCCATGACTGGAATGTAGGACTTCGATGATCGGCGCTGATCACTAAGCTTTATCCTCTCGAGCAACCCCGAGACTACGTATCATTTGTATCCTAACCTTACAACATGGTAAATGTCCCGATATTGATATCCCTTGCATGCATACTTCCCCGCCTCCCCAGCTCAGATGGATTCTATAAATGTTACTGATTTGCGTGACTCCATACCGAAAAAGAATTTTTTTCTCCTTTCTTGTTGCTGTTGCTGCACTGTCAGTCCATAGACATTGCGTATACGCTGTATCTTGCTAGATTCCTTATCATATAGGATTCGTTCTACGGTCTTTTACATCCAATGGGCGTGGAGTCCAAAGATCTGTACCACACGGATAATGAATCCGGATCATGTACCTACCGGGAAAGCAGCCAACAATGTTTGATCACGAACCATGCGACAGACTTCGCCACGGCGACCCAACACACCTACCGAGAAGATAACACGAGGCAACCAGAATGGATGCCGGGCGTGAGAGAGTGGCTTGTCACAACGTGCGTATCGATTCTAGTGATGATGGATGCGTTTAATACGACAGTGGTTATTCCTTTGATGCCAGTATGTATGTCTACAATAGCGTATATCAATCCATGGGGCTTCGGAATCTGACGTGGAATCATGGTAGGGGTTCTCAAGTATCTTTCAGCAACCCCTTGAAAACGCGCTTTGGATCAACACATCCTACTTCATTGGCAACGCGTCCGGTCAAGGTCTTTTCGCCATGCTGGCTGAGGTACTTGGCCACGGACCTATCCTACTTTCATCCGCTGTTCTCGCGACAACTGGAACAGGCATATGCGGTGGTTCTCTGAGTCTGTCTGTCCTGGTAGCAGGTCGATTCATCCAGGGAATTGGCGGAGGAGGAGTGGTGGGGGTTTCGCTTTTGATCGTTGCGGACCTTATTCCCAAGTCGCATCAAGTCCAATTTTCGACCTACATCTTCCGCGCCCAAATGATCGGTATGGTGATTGGTTCCGTTGCTGGCGGGGTATACCATGATTATACAACCTATATTTGGGCTTTCTATTCCAGCTTCGTGTTTTGCGCAATGGGCCTGTTAGTGATCCCATTTGCGCTGGATCTGAGAGGGCATGGGCAAGGAAACAAGCTTAGTGCTACAAGCAAGTTCCGTACTATGGACTGGATAGGTGCCATGTTGACTCTGCTGGGCATGGGAACCCTACTTACTGGAATCGGCTGGGGAGGAACACAGAATGCCTGGAATAACTGGCAAACTCTAGTGCCGATTTGCGTTGGCGGCGCCTTCTTAATTGTTTTGATTCTCCACGAGACAATGTGGGCCATACAGCCAATGTTCAGTTCGAGGGTGTTTCGGGACCTCTCATCAACAATGCTGCAAACAGGCGGCTTTTTGCATGGATTTATTGTAAGTCCGCCCTGGGCAATCAATCTACTTGGGAGAATAGCAGCTAATAGTAATTCTAGTTATCCTCTCACCTCCATTATTTGCCACTTTACCTCATCTTCGTCCAGTCGATCAACACCACATTAATAGGACTGAGTCTGATTGCTCTCACCGGCCTAACTGTACCTGCTCTTATGATCTCGGGCACAGGGCAGTTTTTCCGACGGCCACATATCTCCACCTGGATTACCCGTATAGGCTGGCTGTTTACTACTACAGCAACTGGTTGTTCAATTTTACTAAATGTATCGATTCCAACATACGGTTGGGTCATTATCTTCCTGGTCGCTGGGTTGGGCTCTGCTCTCCTCACACTCGGATACAACCTTTGTATCCATGTAGACACCATGAGGTTCTACCAGGGACAGGAAACCCGTGAGAGCGCCAAAGTATCCACGACCTCAATACTGATATACTCGATCCTACACACATGGGGCATGTGCATCGCCATCCCCATCAGCGGGACCATTATATTTAACTATCTATCATCCAAAGACATGCTTGACCTATCAACCGGGTACACAGGCAGCCATTCTGGCGCATACGCGCCTCAGGAAGCCAAGGACGCCTTCACCGACGCGCTTCAAGTCCTTTGGAAAGGTTACACGGCGATTGCCGCATTGGGGGGAATTTCGTCTCTGTTTATTCGGTCAGCAAGTTGAGCGCAAGCGTCTGTTTTGTCTTATTTGTATAATAGTAGCTCCATGATATCCCTAAAATGTGGTCAAATATACACGCGACACATCTCACGCCTCGACATCTGTAACCGTCTCGCGAAGCAACCACTCAGCGGGCGGAGATCGAGGAGAACAGGCGTCAATTGTTCGCTCTGCCTCAGTGGGCCAGAGCCAATTAGACTTGACCGCCGTTGGACAGGTTACTACTAGTTAGTTAGCGTGCAGGATGCATCAAGGATTCGGATGTGTCCGCGCCGATCGCGCTCTTCGTTCTCTGTCTCATTAAGGTTATGGATAGTCCACCGCACCTTATATTTCTATCCTGGACCCCGTGCCTTGTCATACCCTACCTCAGATTAAAAACCGAGAAAAAAAAGACCATACCACCGAAAAGAATAAAAACAGTAATCACAATCCCCTAGTAAAGAAAAGGGAGAACAAAAATAAAATAGAAAAAATAAAAAAAGACAATTCAGAAAAAAATCCATCCGTCCCCACAAAAACCCCCAAACACCATTTGCCCAAAACCCTTGGCAACTCGCATGCGTGGCTCGACTTGCCTTACCGCAAAAACACAACCACCACGTACGATGAGTTGTATATTGCAGCTTACCCATCCAAAAATAGCTTAGCTGTCCCTGTCCCTATTCTCTTGGGTCCCCATTTTTCGGCTTAGTTCTTGCCTTGCTTTTGACTTTTGGGTAATGTAATAATCAGCCTCGTGCGCATGCCTTTGGGCACCCATTTTCTGTCCTGTGGCTTGTGGGTGGGTTGTGCCTGAGATTTGGGCGTTTTATGATAAATTAGATTTTTGGTGTCTTCTTTTTTTTTTCTTCTTTGGCTTGAGGTTTTGTTTATTTATTAGACGTCGACTTGATTGTGTTTTTCTTGGGCTTTTTTTTATCTTATTTTTAGTTATTTATTTGTCTATCTGGTTCTTGTAGTATTAATATTTGGTTGATATTTCTACCACTACTTCTACTCCTGCCTCTACTTTTACTACTTCTATTCTATCCTCACTTATTCTCATCAGATCAACTTTGATAGTTGATTTGCTTGAAAATACCAACTAATCCCCAACAACCTAAAAAGAAAAGCCCCCCAAAACAAGAGAAAAATATGTCCCCCAAACCAAACCCCCTAACAATAACCCTCCAACTCCTCACCCTCCTCCTAATCCTCTCCATCGTCGGCAAAAGAACCACAACCCTTGTCCTGGCCTCGGTCTTCACCCTCTGGTTCAAGACCAGGTTCACCCTGTACCAGGACCATGTCGAGGAGCGGCGGTCTACTCGGCGGGAACGAGAGCGCCAGCGTCGGAGTCAGGCGGTTAGGGTTATTTCGGCGAGGATTGTGGAGGAGGTTATTCGGGGGTCTGGATCTCGGTCTGCACCTGTATCTGGGTCTGGGCTTGAGAATGGGAATGGGGATTTTGGGGTTTGTGCTGGGGTAAATGGGGGAGTTGGGGTTGGGGAGAGATCTTTGGCTCAGGAGGGGTTGGATAAGAAGTGTGTTGAGGGTTCGGCTGGAGATGGGGAGAGTGAGAAGGGGTTTGGTGATCTTGATGGGGGTGTTGTTGTTGGTGTGCAGGTTTATGAGGTTGGGGCGTCTGGTTCTTTGGGTGAGGATGAGGTTTCTGTAGGGGTTGGGGAGGTGGAGGTGTTGGAGGGTGAGGGGGATGGAGAGGAGAAGGACGGGCAGAGAGATACTGTGGAGCAGAAGTGGGAGTATGATGATGCTGAGGGAGAGGTCTACAAGGAGCATGTTGGAGAGGAGGCGATAGATGAGAAGGTGGAAGTCAAGGTGAAGGTTGATGTGGTTGAGGAGAAAGACGATGAGGGCACTTCTGCTCAATGGATTGAGGACATCGCTGAGGACCAGGAAGAGAAACAGGTGGTTCAGCAGGATGAGAGCCAGAAGATCCCAGAGCTGGACGAGGTGAAACAGGAGGAACCCCAGCGGGAAGAACAGAAACCAGAGAGCACAGCATTGCAAGATGAGAAACACGAGAACGCAACATGGGCAGACGACGAGAAGCAAGAGAAGCCCGTCGAGGAGGACAAGAAAGCCACCACAGAAACCATCCCCAAAGCCAGTGGAACCGAGCCTGAGAAGGAATCCAAGCAGCCCGAGGCAAAGCAAGTCGAGCCAAAACTCGCCGGGCTATCTCAATCCCGATGGAGCACTTCATTGTCCGGCTCGAAAAAGGTCCTCGACCCGCGAGCGTCCACCTTCCAGCCAACGGAATTTAAATCCAGCGCGAAAAGCCAATACCAGTTCTCCCTTCCCACAACGACTCGTCCTCAGTCGTCGACGCCACTCGCGTATAGTTCCATCGGCATACTGGCATCATCCTCAAGCAGCTCCCCTTTATCTGCTTACTCTCCGCCGAGCATTTTCAGCTCCGTGGGGAGAAGTACGCAGAGTTCAACCCCTTCTTATGGCGATTACTCTCACAGCCCTTCCTATGGGTACAACTACTCGGCTACGTCATCTTATGGGAATACACCCTCCTATGCGAGTTCATCCTCCTATACAAACTCCTCCTATGCGAATACATCTTCTTACGCAAATAATTCCCCATACGGGAATACTTCTTCTTATGGAAATTCGTCTTACAGTTGTTACACTCCGAGTCCTTACTACAGCAGCTATAACTATGCTTCCGCGAGCTGAGGTTGAGGAGGGCCAAAATCACCGAAACTTGAAAGCAGCAGATATTTACCGTTGACCGGAACTCCTGTGACACCGGTAGAAAATAAGGAAAAGAAAACAAAAGACCGCGCTTACTTCTTTCTCTTGGCATTTGTTTTAATGGTTATTTTTTTTATCTTACGGTTCAGCCTTTATGTGTGATTCTTCTTTGTTCTTTTCCTTTCTTTTCTTTTTTCTTTTCCTTGCTGCTTTAGCGACTAGCATGTTGTTATACACTCTCCGTTCTTAGACATTTGTATGTACAACTTTTAGCTCTTCATACTGGACTGGTCACATTCCAATACGCTTTATGCTATTCATTCCAGACCCTTGGTATATCACACAGTCACTTAAAGTCAGCTCACCGCATAAGACATACCATGAAGACGTCAGATAGGCAGCAATCCATGAGCTCATTTACATGACGCCAACATGAGCCGCTGGGACATCTACGAGAGATAGGAAGCAATAATCCAATTGGAATAGCCAGTTGATTGATCGCTGCTAACAGTATATGTTAAACAGATGAGTCCTTAACTAACATCAAAGCATTCCACTGAATGGAATATGCGTAATACATGATAATAACCAAATCCTTCTCGCTTGAGCAAATGCGACAACACCCTTTAACATGATGTTTCAAACAGATAGGGCGAGCTGAATAGTAAAATGATAATTACAGCGACAAGCGGATACGACTTCAGTCGCCTGTATACATAGGATCCTCCCACGCCTAGGATCATGCCAAATAGTTCACCGTTCCAGTTGTCATGAAGACAGGGTAGGGGGTGGGCACCCTTCTCAGTCCATAGGGCTCAGGCTCAGATTCCAACTTCAGATCGGGCTTCATCTCGTGGTGATAAGGTGCGGGTACTCTCTTCAAGGGGCATCCAAAGCTCTCTGGGTCAGACTCTGAGGCAGACTTTATCTCAAGAGCAGACTCTTCGAATCGGACCTTTTTGGTCTTCGCTGCAAGTCTCTTGAGCTTGGAGAGAAAATATTGGAGGATGTGTCCCTGTGCCATTATCGGAGTGTACATCCTGAGTAGGCTGAGAGATATTTTGTGTATAGTGTGTGATGTGTTTTGTGATGTGTCTGTGTGGGGAGGGATGGTGGGGAAGAAGAGAATAAGAGAAGGCAGGGAATATAAAGGTTTTTAAATTAAGTATTCTAATGTGCGGTGACTTCATAGCCCGTGATATTTACCATGGAGTGGAATGATGATCTGAGGAGTAGTTGTATGACGTACTTGTATGCTTCATGATGAAGACATAAAGGCATACGCGCATTGCACTCATACCGGTAGGATTCATGAGGTTCAAGTATTTCTAAAAGCGGTATACAAGATAGGTAGGCTACAGACTATAGTGTGTAACTCGGAGTTTTTCTTCCCCTCTATTTAGTCGCACGACTGTGGCCAGTAGCAAACATTCTTCTGGTTTTATACTCGAGACTATCCTGTCGTTCGATTCAGTCAAAGCAAGCACAGGTGTCATCATTCTTACCATATGCCAAAATGCAACTCGATACTCACATCATCATATTTTTGTTCTTTATGATAGCCCATAGCCTCTCAATTCCAAACATCTGGCCTCGTGCTGATATACCCCTTCCGGATGGCATGCCAAATCCAAGTGAAGAGCAGCTGAAGAAAATCCAGCTACGAGCACATGGCACTCTACCCCACACGCCCCTCTCATCAAAGATCAGCAAGGACGGAATTACCAATCTCCAACTGATAGCTTTCAATGAGCTGTTCGAAGTTGCCTTCTTCAACGAATTACTGTTGAACATCACAAAGGACGTACCTGGTTATCAAATTCCAAACCCCAAGAAACGAAGTTTTATAATAGAATCCCTAGTAGCCATACTCGCTGTAAGTAACATTCATACTAGCATGTCCGATAACATCCTCTAAGAAAGCTTCCAGCAAGAGGAACTCCACGCTTTAACCGCCAACCAAGGCCTCGAACACTTCAAAATAGACCCAATTGAACCATGTCGCTATCATTTCCCCGTTTCGGACTTCGACGCAGCCATCGCTCTAGCAGCTACCTTCACCGACCTCATCATAGCCACATTCCAAGACGTAATCGTGCGATTCGCAGACAATAGCGACGTCGACCTCACCCGAGTCATCGCCGCGACAATCGGCAACGAAGGAGAACAGCAAGGCTGGTTCCGAGTCAATCAGGGCAAAATCCCCAGCGAAGTCCCCACGCTCACAACCGGCGATGTCAATTTTGCCTTCACGGCTGTTCAAGCCTTTGTCATTCCGGGGTCTTGTCCTAACTTGGATGATATTGCATTGATGACGTTCAAGCCGCTGGATATTTTGACGCCACCGGAGCCCAAGACACAACTTATTCTTGTCAGTTGGGAGTCTGCGCACAGGGTTAAGGGGGATAAGCTGTGGTTGACTTATATCAATCAGCTGAATGTTCCCATTGTGGAACAGTTGAAGATTCTCTCGAATAAGGATGGCAAAAAGGTTATCGCGAAGGCTCTCTTCCCGTACCATGAGAATCTTATGAACGGGTTGACTATCGCAGCTGTGACGAAGAGTGGTGGTCCGTTTGCTAGTGTTAATGATGTTGCTCAGGAGACGCTCTTTGGGCCTGGGTTGATTATCGTTAATTAGCTGTTTCGTCTTGGTAGTGTTTGTCGTAGGTAGCGTTGTTCGTGAGTCATGTCGTGGGGTGTCTTAAATTATCGGAAAAGATCATATTGGTGCTTGCTATTTTTTTACGTTTAATGGAGCACTTTAACTGAACATCTTACAGCAAACAGAAGTGCACGTTATGTTTAAATAGGGGACGTTTCATGTAAACGCGGATCGACAAGATCGTCGGCATTACGCGTACAAAGACTGAGGGCAGACAACATGTGGACCGGTGGGTGTGTTCGTACATCCTTTCCTTTTGAGGTTATACTGTCGATCTTATATTGCTTATATTGACCAGACAGTTCCACCGACGATCATGGACCCTGGGAAACTCTAGCAGATCATGGTTATACTGCGGAGGATATGTCGAGCATCTATACACAGTAACATGTTTTTGAGGGCCTTCCAACTAATTGTTATGTATTATTATTCTTAGACCAGAATGTACTACTCTCTTGTTGGTGCATATTATGCACGTTCAGACTACATAAAATACTTGTCATGAGGAGCACGGCTTAAGGACGTGATATCCTATTTGAATTAAACTGAATTCAACAATCCTAGCGGAGTCATCCATTGGCGAGCTGAAGAGGCAAAAGTATGCTCGACACGATAGTTCCTCGTGGCTGGTGATGTCACACATTTCTACGGATTTAAACCAACACAACGATTCAAGCTAAATTAATAATATTGTAGCCTGCTAAAGTATTATAAAGAAGTAGATACACGAAGAATAATTATCGTCCCCAAGACCTTCGACATTCTCACCCACACGCACTCTTCAAATAGAGATCTCTTAATCGATGATTTAGAGCTTGCCCTGGCCGGCGTTGGCCATGACCCACCTGGGGATGTTCTGAGCAAGGTGAGCACCAGCGATGTTCTTGCCAGAGAACTTAGAAATGACGGCGGTATCAGCCTGGCTGAAGGAACCAGAGCTGCCGAACGCGTTGATCTGGCAAGCACGGCCGAAAACGGACTTGCACTGCTCATTGGTGGTGGCATCAGGGGCGCTGAAGAGCTGTCCGCTGATGGGGGACTCAACGGGGGCATCGACGTTCTGGAAAGCGTTACCCTCGGCGAGGACGTAGCCACCGGAGCCGATCTCGAAAGCGTGGCCCTTAACGTCGTGGAAGTAGTTGTTGACGGCATGGAGAAGGGTGTTGCCCTGGACCTTGGGCATACGGCCGGAGGTGTGGTAGAAGTAGTTGCCCTTCATGGTGACCATGTCGTTGGAACCGTCAAGGTAGACACCCCAGTAGTGGTAGCCGTTGCAGGTAGCGGAGTAGTCGGTGCGACCGTCGATGAGGGAGTTGGAGATGGTGACACGGTTGTCAGCCTGGGTGCCGAGGACGATGTGCTGACGGGCGATACGGGCAGTGGTAACGTGGTCGATCCAGACAAGGTCGGCCTCGTTCAGAGTGATGGCATCACCACCCCAGACGTACTGGGGGTTGATGTCGGTGATAGCAATGTTCCTGTGTTGGCGATTAGTATGTGTTGTTCGACGACTCGAAATCCGGAAATACCCACTGGATGATAACGTTCTTAGCGCCGCTGACGATACGGAGACCACGACCCTTGATGACACCAGCACTACCCTGGCCGACAATCGACTTGTTGGAGTTGACGGTGATACCAAGAACACCAGCCTTGCTGTAGGTGATGCTGCTCACAGTAGGAGCGTTGGGTTCGTAGTTGTTACACCAGTTGTCCTTGTTGATGGCAAGCTGGCAGCCGGAGGCAGTACCCCAGGGAGCGCAGCCCTTGCTAGTTTCGGTGCCCTCGGTGTTGGTGAAGTCAAAGGTCTTGGTGAGGATGATAACACGCGCCTGGCTGTCACCAAGGTATGAGACCAGCTCATCGGTGGTGGAAGGGTAAACTGGGGTAGCGCTGCCACCACCAGTGACGCCCTTGGCGAAACCCTCAGCAGCACCAGAAACGCCGGCGGCGCTAACGGCGCTGGCGAGCGCAGCCGCAGCAGCGGCGATGAAAGACGCGTACTTCATGTTTGAAAGAAAGACAAATGAAAAGAAAAGAAGGACTGAAAAAGTAAATGGTACAAAGAAGGGATGGATTGATACTCTGGACCAACAGAGCGAAGGTTCCCAGCCTTATATGTACTCGGAGTAGGAGCTCAATTTTGCTCGGTGGCGCTGTGAAAGGCAGCAAGCACCCTTTTGAGCATATTAGGTTCTAGAATGGGACTAAGTGGAGGCTGATCATGAAACGTCCGACAAACGCCAGGCCGGTGCTGCAAAGTAAAACCTTGTCCCAGTCTGCTGGGGCAAGAACGCCTGAGTAATCTTATATGGAGAGATCCATTCTGCCCATCCGAGGTATCAAAGCTCCACTCCTTTATCAACCCGTTACAGACTGGGTCGGAAGCCGGTAGGATTATTGGCGGGCGAAGTGTAAGGCACGAACTCCAGCTGATGCTTAACCATGTTCCCCTGAATAGAGGTTCTGAAATACGCCGACCAAGGCGGCCAATAATGGCTGTTGAAGCTATTTGGTGGTGGAGGAGCTAAGGGTCATTAATGGTGTTTCATGATTGCCACTTCGGCTTTCTTAGTTCGGGAGTCTAAAAGTTTGTCTCGGACCGCCGGACGACGCAGAATTAGAAAGCAGTCATTATGGAGCAATTTCTCCGGCTTGGCATTTGATTTAAGCAGCCGGAGATCTACCGAAACGACGTTTTCAGGGGACATTGAGAGTAGATAACTATTGGGACGTGATGTAGTACACTCATATGGCATACCTGAATTAGGGCTAAGAGATCAGCGTTGCTCCGTGCTGTGGATCAGCACTCTCAAGCTCTTCTTCCTTTTCCACCTTCAGCTACTCGCTTCTTGAGGCAAGCAATGGAGTTTGATTTTCGACTTTCCTTAAGGTCCCCTTCCACCACTACTTCAAATTCCTACGAGAAAATAGTACTCAGGGCGACGGAGCAATATCTACTTTCGTTTAGTGGGCATTCAACCTCAAAAAGCGCGGCGAAATCGGTCCACAGTGGGCCTCTCGGGTTTTCGGTTCCTGACGATATCAGATCCGCATTTTTGGAAAGCTTTCGGAGAATAAAACTTTGACAAGAAAATCAGACACAAGTAAAGTCCAAGCCACCCATTTAGGTGTTAACTCTTAAGAGTCATGATAATACCCTTTGAAGGGCGTGGTGGGCACAAACTCATCAACAAAGCGTCTACGGCGAGAACCCGAGTGGCTTGTCACTACGCATCTCAACGGTTGCCTTTAATTTACTTTAGGGGTTGTCGACATATTTCCCATCTTGTAAACGATCGGTATACGAAGGTCTATATAGATTAGTTATCATTCAGCCTCCGTTAGCATTTGTCTCAGCTCCCCTATCCCCATTGAGAAGCTCTGTTCTGTCCGGAACGTGCCGGCAGTACTGTCTTCAAAAGCGGAGCTACAGGTAATGATAAGGAGTCAAAGGCCTTTAATGGCATGAAAGGTCTTTCAGAGTAAAACAGCGGCTTCTTGAATGGTAAATCACTACAGTCCACCCAGTAGCATTATTTTTCCAAGATAGCACTTCACCTCGAATTTTCATAGTTCGTCAAACATAATAAATAGATCCTGACATACATGTTGGCTTGCTAAAACCTTATCCTCCTGAGGGAATGGTCATAATCTTTACTACTCGTCTGTAAGCATAGACATTCGTAGGTTTTTTCAGCGCTCTAGTGCGAATGAATCATTTTCGTCTCCAGAAAACCATTGCTTTCATTTAGGGAAAGGTACCATCCCGTGGAGCAGGAACTTAAGCCGGCCTTCCTTCGCACCAAGTTCAGAAGCAACCTTCAACCTCCTAATAAGCTCTGATGACAGGCGGGATGCTCATGGACTCTTTCAGAGATGGCATAGTGTCCAGTGGGCTGGCTTACAGTGGATTGGTAGCCACAATCAGGTGACCCTTGTTTGGCTCGAGACAAGGCCAATTAATTAAGGGGGGAAAGAACCCGAAGGTCTCTTTTAGTGCCAGCGAAAAAAAAATGTTCCGTAGGCCGGAACTAGTAAGACAACATATGAATATCAACCAACTTGCATTCTTGTCTAGCAAAAGCAATATCCAAAAATGGAGCCAGTGAGAGTCTTTTGTTCAAGCTCGTTATGCTTCAGGTTTCTAGCTGTCAGGAGATCAACTTATCAAGGAGCAAAAACCACCCCATGGTTAATTGACCTGAAATCTTCATAACCACCTTAGTGGTGCCCTTCCGGAACGGGAATAGTCTATGATGGGGAGAAGCCTTTATGCCTCAGGCGGCGGCTATATGCCTAAGGCGGCTTCCCGGTGCATGCCTCAGCTTTCAGGGTCGAGACGGCAACTGGACTCGGTTCCGTTTCCCCTTTGGGAAAGCGGCAATTGGCGAAGGCAAATTGACTCGTGATGTAATAAGAAGAACAGAGGGTTTGAAGAGTGTGATTGAGTCTTGTGTGTACGTACAATTCAGCGGCCCTCAATCTCTGACAGTTTGGTTGCAATGATTTTTTTGTTGTTCGCAAATATTCTGCCGTCGTAGTTGTCTCGCTTCTCACGTGCGAGGAAAAGGGAATTGAATTTCCCCAAAGAACGAGTGAAGATTCGCCGTGTATCCCCGACGCTTGCAATTAGCTTTTGCATGATTGGCCCGTGGGCTGAGTAAGCCGCCTGCCGGCCGTCAAACCCGAGGTTACCTCTTGGGTAAAGCTCACAAACATCATTCTCCAACTCCCTTCGACTTCATCTCGTCGCTGCCGCTGGCTGGCTGTTCATTTGGTTGACTTGACCGCCCCCTCTCCTCTCTCTATTGACGACTGCCACCCTCGTTTCCTGCATCTTCTCCGCCTCTCCCCACTTCTTATCCCATCTTCATCCCATTTTCTCTTTTTGCGCGTCAAGTGTCCTTTCGCCCGCCATGGCTGCTCTTCGCTCAACCTCGCGCCTTGTCGCATCCTCGAAGCCTCTTTTCCGCCCGGCTGTCTTCGCTCGCTCCTATGCGACTGTCGATGCGGCTGCTCAGGTGAGCGGAACAGGTTATGCCAGTAACAAGACTGTTCACGAATCTAAGACTTGAACTGCACAGGACCCCAACCCGTCCGAGACGCCACGCACGAAGACTTTCCATGTCTACCGCTGGAATCCCGATCAGCCGACTGAGAAGCCCAAGATGCAGTCCTACTCCCTGGACCTCAACAAGACCGGACCCATGATGCTCGACGCCCTCATTCGCATCAAGAACGAGATGGACCCCACCCTGACTTTCCGGAGAAGTTGCCGTGAGGGTATCTGTGGAAGCTGCGCCATGAACATCGATGGTGTCAACACTCTGGCCTGCTTGTGTACGTCACTCGCCAAGTTTTAAGCACAACTATGGAGGAATTGGGGTGTTGACTGTGCTATATATAGGCCGCATTCCTACCGACACCGCCAAGGAGTCTCGCATCTACCCTCTGCCTCACACCTACGTTGTCAAGGATCTGGTACCCGATCTGACCCAGTTCTACAAGCAATACAAGTCGATCAAGCCCTACCTGCAGCGCGAAACGAAGACCGAGGATGTGAGTCCCTATATCTTATTCCAGGCCTCCGACGGCAATGGTAAAGTGTTCTAACATATACGTAGGGCCTTGAATACCGTCAAAGTCCCGAAGACCGCAAGAAGTTGGACGGCCTCTACGAGTGCATTCTGTGTGCCTGCTGCTCCACCTCCTGCCCCTCGTACTGGTGGAACAGCGAGGAGTACCTCGGACCTGCTATTCTCCTCCAGTCCTACCGTTGGTTGGCCGATTCCCGTGACGAGAAGACCGCCGAGCGTAAGCACGCCCTGGATAACAGCATGAGCGTCTACCGTTGCCACACCATCCTTAACTGCTCGCGGACTTGCCCCAAGGGCCTGAACCCCGCCCGTGCTATCGCGGAGATCAAGAAGTTGATGGCCGCTCATTAAGGGAGTAGTGGGTAAAAAGTAAAGGAGTGTTTGTTATATATTCTGAGATATGTCTTCTTTGGTGGTTCTCTTTTGTATCCTTCCTTTTATTTTTCCCTTGTTCTAGCTTTTATTCCCTCGGTTCTTGAGGCCGTCATGTCGCATGTTTCAATAGGTGTAAATTGTGAATATTTATTTTCAAAGCAACTGGCGATGATTAACCGTTTTAGAGGTGTATTACGGGCATATAATAATAAATGCTGCATTCCTATTGCAAGTATGGGGGAGAACTGTTATATTTTCCATGGATTATGTATGTTTTGGAAGGACACCCGATTTTGCCGACCTTTGTTCCGTAACTGCATGTGAAGGTTATGGATCGGCCCGCCGGAAAAATATATATATCGGCAATTTTTCGGTGCATTGGACCGACTATATATATATCCGCGCCCTGGCATTCGGGCTCAAACAAAACAGGAAAACAACAATGACAACAGTCATCATAAGAATAATGTTAAGCTTCCTAGACTCATCATCAATGGCATTATATTATAGATCGATTCAATACTCCCCCATTGAGATATTTGCATATAAACATTAATTCTTTTATGTAAAAGCAACTGTTCCAAATTGCACAACTACTGCTATAAAACTCCGAACGTTCCCAAGTTCCTGGGTGTGACCTCAATGTCTACTGGAACATTAGATATATCCTTGAATACATAGCCAAGCGAGCTGATACCAATCAACACTAGATTTCTTTGAAAATTTATTCTATTACATGGAAAGGCGTTTACACTGCAGGGTCGCGACAGCCTTGAAGGAGAATATATCTTTACATCGACAACCTATACCGACTCCACATAGCCCTGCCTCCCTTTCGAAACTATAGTATTCTGCATTAGACATTTTTGACACTGTTGTCAACATTCCAGAAATGGATCCTGAGGTTGAAAAGGGAAACAAACAACAACGAGTGCCCAATCGAGGACATGAGGTCGCTGATTAGGAAAGTGTCCAGGACATCCCCACGTGACATTGTACCAAACCATCGAATATAAACACTACACCAACATCATCGCCGGCTTCATTTGCAGTAAAAGAACCGACACAAGATTACCTCCCAGACCACCAAAGAAAAGGAAAAGCGGAGTCAGGAAATCATGACTCGGGTATACAACAAGACCAACGAAAGGGAATAACAGAGCAACTCCGAGCCAGACCAGAGCCGGCTGGCTCAGCATGAATGGCAGCCCACGTTGCTTCGCTGCCACCAGGGCTAGATAGAGCCCGATGTATTGCATTATGGCGGATTGGATCGCGGAGAGATGATCGGCGTCGCATATGGCAGCTTGGCGATGTTCGTTTCGTTGGAGGAATAGAGCATAGGTTTGGATGGCAGTTACTATGATGGAGATACCGATGAAGAGGGATGTTGCTGTCTCGACGTGCTAGATCGGTGTTATTAAGTGATTTTACTGAGATAACACTGTTGTGTAGATTGAGGTACAATGGACTTACCACTCGAGCTGGATAGAGGGCTTGAAGGGCAGCTGGTCAAAGAACAACCAATCAGCAGCACGAAGACGGTGACACTATCCCCGATCTGTACTGGGAAGGGTCATGTGATTTACTGTGTGAGGGCGATGGATTGTATCCGCTCTTACCTCTAACGTGCTCTATGAATCTTTGAATGAGATCCATTGCACACTCGTTCAATATTTGCCTTAGCCAAAGTATTTAGCTGTTTGGGTAATGGGACTGAGAATTTATATTAAGTGCATGGCCACTGCATACGTGAATTCTTGGTCACGATTGATACTTAAAAGACTAGTGACTGGTCGATCATCAGTGGACCTACCACTAGTCTCCACCTCCAGTATGTAGTCGATTTGACCTCCATTTTACTTCCATCTTACCTACCTCCGTAATATCGAACCTGATATGAAGCGGTAGTCGATCTACAGAAATAAAAGCCACGATGTCATTCTGCTGTACGTCGAATACCCAGAGACTCAAGCCACAAAAGTGTGTCGGTGACACGTTAATCCCTGTCGTTTTGTGTTTCGGCTTCTGATTGATTCGACCACTGGACCACTGGTTCACTTGTTCACTTGCTCACTGGTAAGGCAAGTCATTGCGGCCAACGCGCATTAAAAAGAGGATAAGAAAACCTGAAAAATATAGGAAAATGAATTCATGCGCGTTGGCCGCAATGGCTTGCCGTACACTTGGTCCGCGCCGCGGCCCATCATGTATTGCAATGTCAGGTTGGCCCTCCGTTTCTCTGACTGCCTCGTCCTGTCCTGCTCTCGGGTTTTTTATAATGAGTGTTCTTTTTTGTTTCCTTAGCATAATGAATATCTGACATCCCTAGTAGGTACGTCCCAATAGTTACAATCTGTAACTATCGGGCGCACTTGTCGGTTAAGTCAATAGCCGGGCTGAGAAGAGTCACCATTGATTGGTCGATGTTTGGCTAGTATGCTGACTAGTATTAAGCGCGTTTGTAAACTAACAGAATAGTGCATTGATTATTTATATTATGCACGGACATGGATATGTAGCGTTGTTGCAAGCCTTATGATATCTATGATGGAGGAACCGGAAACGAGTCGCAAACGCCATCTCGAAGAAGAGCGCTCTTGATAATCTGTATGTTCCTGGGGCAGTGGTCACGGTGTAACTCGAGATTCATGGGAACTGCAATGGGGTCCACTGCTTGCCAGATACGATAGTAGCGATCTAATATACATCATTGAATTATATGAGGTTGATAGGCAATGTATGAGTGAAGGCGGCACTGTGTTGATTCTTAAGCACTGATATCCCGTAAGAATGTTATATGGTGTTGCCCGACTTCAGAGCTGGATTATACTATGCACGGCGGGGCATCCTTGAATAGACGATATAACCTTCTCTGGATTGAATCCATTAGTCTCTGTCGGCCGAGGCACAAATTTAAGCAGCTGTACTCGATGCAAATCAACAGTCGCTCTGTAGGGTTGTTGATGCACCCTCCGGCGTACAGTATGAGAAAGATAGGCTGAAATTGATCTCCCCGAGACGAGTCCACAATTTCCATGGATGGAATGGGAGAATGCCATTTTTCTTGTATATATAGCTTGCCACGGCTGCATTTGAGATCACTTAACCTCACAGCTGGAAATGCTTAGGTCGAAAGAGCCATGCCCCGGGTGCTCTGGAAAGTTACGCACGGGGAATTAGTTAAAGCAAGGACAGCGACACTGATCTCTAGACGACTGTCCCTTACTAGCCCATCAGGAGTAGGAGGTCTCTTTCCTGAGCGAATACGAGATATCACGTAGGCGGAAGAAAGCCAATTTGTTCCATCGGCCATCGAATCCAAACCCGATATGTCGGACTGAGCTGATCATAGATTTGCGAAAGAAGATGCGTACTCCAGCCTTTCATACACCACATCCACTCTAATTGATGCAGAAGTACACAGAAATAACCCAGGATTACCAAGGCCAAGGGCTCGTAGTTCCTTAGTAATACTAAAAAGTCATATGGCACACGGATTAGCCAGACAAAGACATCCGCTGTCTCGAGGCGCAGGTTATGCTCTAAGCACATCACGAGCGATCTGTTCATTTCATCGAGCGTGCCAATGTACATACGGATCAAGTGTTGATCATGGACCTCAGTCAGGATAAGCTGGTGCAATTCTTCTAGAACATGATGCCGCCGACTAGTTCTGAAATTCCGATGCTGATCCCGGACGCTGAACATCGACGCCAATGGCCCCGATTTGAGCGACTCGTCGGCAAAGTCCAGTATAGTTCCGGTGCCCCGGATAAGCAGGAGCCAGTCGGCGATGTTGTTGTCTTCCAAAAGAAAGAAGTTACCCAGTTTGAGCGGCTTCGCACAGCTGATGAAGGATGACAAGGCGGATAGGAGGAATAGCGGAGCCGAGTTATGCGGGCCGATGTTTGCCATCTCGGGAGTAGCGAGCTTCAGTGCTGCTTCATGGTGAGTTTTCGCCAGTGTGATGTAGAACTGGAGTTTCTCTGGTCGCAAACAAGCCAGGTGCAGGGCTGATATGGCTAGGATTGCCCGGAGAGTGTATGGTGCGGTGAACCCAATTCGAGGGACCTCGACTCGCCAGAATGTCTGTAGGAGTGGGTGGAGCGAGAATGTGTAGGCGGTTGAGGTAGTATAATGGTGCAGTAACTCCAAGTCTGGAATATGCAGTTCAGAGGTAGCGGCAGTCTGTAGTTGGCTGTCATTCCCTGGGGAGCCAGAGTGGATCGTCCCGGGGGTACGTAGGGGTGTTATGGTCCGGCTGCGAGGTGATAGCTGGTTATCAATTGAGGCCGTGCCCTTCGTCTGGGCGGAGAAAGCAAAGGAACAGTCCACTTCATGTCTCCTGCAGTTGCCACAAGTCGGTTTCTCTTCCCCACACTAGAGTTCGGTTAGTCGCTCCACTATCATATGGCATCTGTTGCACTCAGAGGCCGATGTACCTTGACCTTTCGTTGCTTGCATTGTTGGCACCCGGTCCGTGACTTCTGATGGGACCGACGCCCTTTCAAAGCGGACCCGGTTCGCATCCTCTTAGTGGCTTGAAGTTAGTAGGGACAAGACTCCCCAGCTTTTATGCGCACTCAGTTGTGACTTGCAAGCAGCCCGGCCTTGAATTGAGTGATATGTTGATAGACAAGGACATCCCAGGCAGTCAACAAGACGCTTCATGCTAACCGTATGGGTCGCGACGGGAAGTTAAGGTCCGAAGCCGAATACGAACCCGACAAGCTTCTTCAGGGACCCACTCACTTGGGCCAATAGAATTGGCCCCTTTGTATATCTACTTTCTGAAAATAGTCGTCGAGTTCTAGAAATAAAGTCGGTCCGTTTCAGACCACGCCATTACCAGGGCATAGTCAATCATCGTAGCTCTTATATCGAGAGCAGAATGCTGGGTCCAGATTTTCATTTCCTTTATGCTTTGTTTTCCTTGCTTCCTTTTCACCTGGAAGACTTTTGAGCTTCAAGCGACGGTGAACAGCAGACCCCGATCGACTTCGCATAGTTGAACCTTTATCCAGCTCGAAGTTTCCTTGAACAAGAAAAATGGTAGAGGAGAAAGATAGCCAATTTCACGGGATGCATCAGGCACCGGATGATAGTTCCGATTCACCACCGGCGTATTCACCTCCAGCTAGTTCGATTGCTTCCTCTGAGGTTTCTTTCTGGACGGTGGAGCCGGATTTCGCACCTGATTTCACAAATGCTTCCCAACAAGGGAGTCGTTGGGCTACAGTTCGTGGTGCGGCATCTATAGCTGAGAATGGTAGAATGTCTGGATAGAATTACTAACATTCTCTCTGCTATGTCCAAAGAAAATCGGGAGTTTAGCACTCATCTAGGATGCCGGTCGCGTACATCAGCTTTCATCCAAGCCTTCCTGCAACCAAAGGCGCAGCCACAGTTGGTAAAAGCGCGGCCCGACTCTCAAATTCTGCCAGAAGATGGCCCATCCGACAGACAAGTACGACCGGAGCTTAGAGGAGTGCCCTTAGACATTGTGATAATGGTCGTTGGAGGTAAAAGCCCCACATACTAGTTTCTTGATTTGAATACCACTGAACGAGAACATTATAGAGAATATTGAGCCTTTTATTGCGGTCGGCAAACGGCTGCTCCAGGACTCACATCGGGTTCGGATTGCTGCACATGTCTCATGGGAATCCTTGGTGAAAGACCAAGGCCTTAATTTTTTCTCTATTAGCCACGATATGATCCATCCGATGGCATGTATTTGACCTGACCGCCCTGAAGATACTACTTGACTGACGGTAGCCACCAGAGCGACATAGGTAGGAAAGAATGGCTACGTGGGCCTAATACTATGAACGAGACTGTCGGTAGCATCAGGCGTTCACTATATCAAAGCTATCACAACTCATGGAGAGCGTGCATTGCATCGTACAAGGGTGAATGCCGACCCTTCCTCGCAGATGTGATTATTGCGAATCCTTTAGCACATGCGCATATTCACTGTGCTGAACGTCTTTCAATTCCTCTGCATATTATGTCAACTATGATTTGGAGTCCGACAAAGAAACTTCCCCATCCGTTGGCCCATATAGAAGGAAGTGAAGACATGGACCAGAACACGGCGAATCTTCTGTCTTATGCGCTGGTTGAGGAAACAACCTGGAACACGTGAGCTTACGAGACTGAAGAGAGTTTGAGGTTATCGCTTAGAACTAATGGCGTGGTAAACTCAGCATTATTGAGCCTATTAACCAATTCCGGCAAGATGTCCTAGGCCTTAATAGCATCTCGTCAGCTACCGGGGGAAGACTCATGGTCGATAACCAAATTCCCCATACCTATTTCTGTCCGGAAATGCTTGTTCCAAGACCAAGAGATTGGGATAATATGATTGGTATGTCAAACAGTTCGTCCAGCCGTGGTGGAGACCGATGAATCGCTGATGGTGGGCAGATACGTCGGGCTATGTATTTACAGAGGAGGAAGTGCAATATAGTCCGGCGAAAGATCTGAGCGATTTCATTGACTCTGGCTCACCGCCGATCTACTTCATGTTACAGGAGAACACTATGGAAAGTCCGGGCATGCTAGCGAGAGCCATCCAGGATACTGTGGTAAAACACGGGCTTCGTGCTATTCTCTCTCAAGGCTGCCGCGATATTTGTAGAATTTTAAACAACGATAACGTGTTCCTGGCCGACACTATCCCCCATGGTACGTATAACATATAATTGATCGAATAGGTTCTAACACAGGTCAATATACAGGATGGCTTCTGCCGCGGGTTGCTGTCGTTGTCCACTCAGGAAGTATAGATCAAAGCGAGCTGGCCTTACGATATGGAAAGCCAAGCGTGGTGATCCCGCATGCAGCAGAGTACACTCCCTCCGAGAACGGAATATTGCACTTTATAACCACACTAACACATTCTCAGTCAATTGTCAAGAGGCATATCACTTTCAAGGATTGGTGCAGCAGCTGCACCACTCATGAGCAATATGGTTTCTCCCAACGCACTATACCAGGCACTAGAATTCTGCCTCCGTCCGGATATTCAAGAATCAACCCGTGCTGTTCAAAACCAGGTCCATGATGAATCAGGTCTTGAGAGAGCTGTTCAGGCATTCTATCATTGGTTACCACCGCAGGTCCAAGAATGCGACATCACGAACCAGAACCTGGCCATGTATCAAGTCTGGAACAGGCCATCATTGAGGATATCCCCTGAGGCAGCAGCGGTCTTGGTGGAAGAGCGGTTCATAAAACAAATTGATATTGTTCTGTAAGTGTGGCAATCTTTTGCGAGCCCAAGTATACTATATTAACATCCGACCGCTGCAATTTCTAGGATTACCCGCCAGGTTTACAATATCGAATGTGAAAGCTCAAGACCTCTTGAAGGTACCGCAAGGGATTATTGGAACGGGGTCACGGTTGCCGCAAAGAACATTGCTACGTCCTCGGATCTGGTGAGCATGCTGCCCGGGATGCAACGAAAGGTGAGAATATTCATTGTTTGGCTAGTCTTCCGTACGAATGGCTAAAATGCGATAGGGTGATGAAAGCAGCGAAAAGAAACCGAAGAGAAAGAATCTGGCCAAGGACGTTGGTATCGGTACCGCAAGGTTCTTTGGAAACATCGCTCTGCTTCCCTTCACTAGTGAGCTTCTCCACCATTGCTCTTACTTCCATCGATGCCTCTCTTACTGAGTTCTCCATTGAAGGCACTGCACTGGTCGTTAACACTGTTGCATACGGTGTGAAAGGGGTCAAGGGAACCAAGGCACTGTATGGAGAGAGCACCACAACCGACATAGCGGTATCGTACGACGTATGAGATAGCTCCGACCTTTTGATGGAATATGATCACTGACCGTGTCTATACAGGAGTCCGAGCTCCCGCAGAGCGACTGCCCTCGCCTTAATGCAGAGTATCAGCCGCCCACATTCATGACGCAGGATTACGGTATAATAAATCGCATGACGGGAGTGAGGAAGCAGTCTAGTCCAAGCGCAAACGCCTTTCCCACGGGTGAGGCAATCGAGAGACATACGCACATCATGTGCCCGATGCTGACACACAACAGGACAAAGCACCGAGGATAAAAGCAAAGCACTACCATCATCTGTTACTATTAGCCAAATTAAAGCTAGGGATGAAGAACATGCTGAGGCTATCTGTCGCAGACACCTTGATCGCGGGTTCAAGAGTCCGATGCTCAAGTGTCCGGATTTTAGACGGCTGGTGGCTGATAGATACCAGGATTGGGGCTCAATATAGACAGCTGGCCTGAATATACTTTCTATATCTGTTTCCAATACCAAGAGAGAGAGTAGTATTCTCTTCTTCATTACAGAGTCCGTCTCACCGGTGTTACTAATTATAAGGTAACAGAATGGAATTCAGGGAATAGCTACGTAATGGACATGCATGGAACACCGCACCGGACAATGTATCGCTTATTGCAAAGACCATGATTTGTTTCAATACATTTCCTTTCTATAATATGTAAAGATGAATGATGGAGGCCTAAATTCATTGAGAACTAACCTTCGATAACGATGACAAAAGTGTATAACAGAGCCTAGTATCATGTGTATCCTCATATCATGCCCATCATTATTGAGCTTTGACACAACAAAGAGATGGTTTTCTTCCTCCCGCATTACCCTCAAGTTAAGATTGAACATCCTGCCTACCAACGACCTCCTTGCAGCCATCCGGCCAATACTATATCCCGCATTCCAACAACCGGCGCGCCACTAGGAATATACCCAAAGCATAAAGTGGCCACTCAGTAGTATTTATAAAGCCATCTAATCTCGAAGAAAGCCATATCAGTTGCACAATATTCTGTACAAACACGATAATGAAGAAGTTCTAAAGCACACAATAGTAGTCGTTGGACTTTGGCGTCAGATAGATACCGTCGTTAAGTTTACGGTGAGGATTAATAGGCGACGCTGCGTTATTGAACATTACAAAGAACTAGAAAGGCAATCGGATAATGAGCACAGATTTTAGGATTTTATGACCAGAATGGATCTCATTCCCAGCAGTTGCTACGCACATGAAAACCGCAAGACTTAGAAGAAGGAAGGGTGCGAAAAGATCGTGGGTGGAACTAGAAGTCTAGAGCCACTATGGCAAGAGTGACCATATTATTGAGCGAACAATATACGAATATACCCACACTCTACCAGAGTAAATAGAAAAAGTGTAAATATCTAGCCACGTGTCCTAATCCCGCAGGTCGTCTCAGTTGGTTATAAAAAGCATTGAAAGGGACGTGCGAAGAATCTTCCACGGAATCAAACCACAACAATTCACAACAATGACTTAGACCGAAGCAATAGCACACACTCCTTTGTATACCTTTAATTATCCTTTGTTTGCTAATTTTGTATGTTGATATCCAGTCATGACCGTGACGGGAGAATGGTTTGCGTTAAATGAGAACCGGAAACCACAGTCGGTGAATTGAAAAACTGATAGCAGATCAGACTGGACATGACCCTGCAAAGGTATCCTCTACCTACTATAGGGGGTATAGATGAAGGAGAAAAGAAAATACTGATATTTAGTTTAGATGCAGCTCAAGAAATGGTATACAGTTTATAATGATCAGATAACATTTTGTGATTGAGAGATCCACGACGGGATGTTGTTGGAGATGTATTAGGACTGAATGAAGGTGCCCAGGCCTGGCTGGCTTGCCGGAAAGTATACGCGGTGATGACCATGTACAAGTGCAAGGATGGCACTATTCCATGAGATCAGGAGAACTCCGTGCTTGGCTTCTGTCTTATCCATAAGATCCTGATCTTACAGTACAAGCAACTTCATGGTCACAGCTACCTTATGGTCACTCCAACACCTTCTAAGATTTTACCACGCTATAGCATTAATCTACTAATTGTGGGTCTATGATATAAAGGTTTCAGCTGTTTTAGGCAGAGTTTATTCATGAAAGACAGCGGGTCAACCGAAGTTCTAGTCCCAGGTAGTGTTGGATACCATTATGTACCTATGCATCGTCGGTATATGAAGCAAGAGCTACGCAACCATTATCACAGGACTGCGAGATCGAACTTGGGCCGCCTGAACCAGGGTGGTATCCTCAAGGGAGTCTAGCGTAATCAAAAGGTATACATCATAGTTTTCAATATTGGCATTTGTGTCACGATCAAAGTGTTACAAAATGGCTCCCAAATGCTGGATACAAATAGCCCGGAGAGGCCACTGACGGATCTGGAGAGAGGACGGCGGGCATTAAGCATAGAATTTGTTTTATAGCAAAATAGTATAATACACCAGCGGATCAAGCATTCCATATTGGTGTTATTTTTGTTAGACCACACAGTAGATGTGGTAGATATACATAAAATTCTATATTAATTCTATCACTGTTGTTCAAATGTAACTTTAGACGTCCTGTTTGCACCAACCTAAGGTTAGTAGATCCGGCTCAAGCCATTGTCAGGGATTATGCGGAAATGTGGGCAACCGAGCCGAGTGACCGAGTCGGCCATCGGCCGATGTGCGATCTATACCAGGCTCAGCTAAAGCTAGAATGACATTTTCAGACTTTACGGAATAATATTAGCAGTGAATACACGATAGGTCGCACTCTATTTGTATAGTATAGCCGAGGTAACAATCGGAGAGCTCTCCTGAGAGCCTACGGCCTCCAGCTAGTAATTCTAGGGATTTTCATTTGTTGCATCTCTTATGTACTGGGTTCTAGTGGTAGGCTATGGCATCTCAGACCGAGATTTCCTCTTACTAACAAGGCAATTGCATCGCTGGGCGGTTGTTATGGCTCTAATGGGCTCAGAGTATTCTGATTAATCCACTGGCAGGGTAGAATGAACAAAAAGGACTTGCCAGCGCTCGAAGAGATTTATGTGCTATCTATGCCCTATACAAAAAAAATCAAGGATATCTCCCAGTCGACTTCAGCATATCCATACACCTCTCCACAGCCTTCTGCATCTCATTCGTAGCTTCCTCCAGCAAAGTGGTCAATGGTACCTTCCCAGCCTTCTCCTGCTGCACGCGGACGTATTCATTATTCAGGACCTTGTTGATATTAATCTTGGAAACACCGCATTCGATGCACTTGGAAAAGATCTCCTCCGTAAAAGGATCAGCTCCATGCAGCACCAACCGGACCTTATCTCCAACTGTATCGTGAATGCGCTTCAACCGGTCATACTCCAGCTGAATGCCACGGGGCCCATACTCGCCATGGACATTCCCGAACGCAGGCGCTAACCAATTGATCCCCGTATTCACGAACTCAATACTTTCCTCCGGTGTGGTCAATAATCCTTCCAAGTCTGCCGTGTCCGCGACTCCATCCTCTCCGCCCTCGATCCGTCCGGGCTCCGCTTCTGTCGCAATCCCCCGCTCATTACAATACGCGACTAGCTCTCTTGTGAGTGCGAGGTTCTCCTCCTTCTCATAATGTGACATGTCAACCATAATGCTGTCGAATCCGCCCAGGTCCGCCGCGTACCGGATCATCTCCGGCGTTTGCGCGTGATCCATGTGCACGGTGATCGGCACGGAGGCCTTGCGCGCGGCCTCGGCGGCGGCGTGTACGAGAAGTCCGTCCGCATATTTGACGGCCCATGGGAAGAGGAGGATCATCGCTGGCGAGCGCTTCGCTTCTGCGGCGCGGACGGTGGCTAGAATGCCCTCGAGGTTGTAGCAGCACATTGCGGGGATGCCATAGTGGTTTGAGGCGGCGTGGTTGAGGATATCGAGGGCGCGGTTCTTGGAGAGAGACATCTTGAGTGGCTGCTGTTTGTGCGCCCCGTTCCAAAGTATCAATTAATGTAAGGAAAGTGATTACGAGAGACAGGATCATGGAACAATGGGTGTATTATATGTGTTGTCGCAAAGCATATGAAAGTCGATGCGATCTTGAACCCCCACTCGCTCCGATCTCCGACCCCGGAGTTGCTCCGACTGACGTCAGGGTCCATTAAATGTGCCTGAAAATCTGTGCCTGAATTGCTACTCGGATATCCATAACATAATCTAAACTCGGTATCTCTCACAAAAATAAAGCTAGAATTACTCCTTTCCAAATACCTTGATCACACTAGTCGCACCCTCGGCGCCCAGTCCAGCTCTCCGAGCAGTGAAGAGCACATTCAGCGCCGCATTGCCCAAATGCAATGGGCAATGAAGATCCCTAGCCTGTTGTACTACGGCCTCTAATTTTGCGATGGCCTCGTCTACCGTTTGTGATCCGGCTGGCGCCTCCTCGCCGATCTGTCCCTTGATCATTTCCAGGCCTTTCGTCATAAACACCTTACTGGCGCCTGCGGCGGCGCTAACTAGCTCGTGAAACTGTGCGAGGTCGACTTTGAGGTATCGTGCAAAGGCAACGGCTTCCGCAGCAGCGACGAGGTTGACACCCTGCATCAGGTCGAGGACTAGCTGCAGCGCAGTGCTCTGGTCTTCTGCAGATGCCGTTACGGAAGCGATAGGTGTGGTAAAGTATTGCCGCACCATGGCCGAATCATCCTTAGGGCCATAGCCCTGCAGCAAAGCAGAGAGATAGATCTGTTCAGCGGTGGTACAGAGAGGTGTTGGGAAACGGTGTTGACGGGCAGATGAAGTGATAATGCCCTATACACTCGTCAGCATTTTCCTCAATACCATAGTTGTGTGTGAACTCACCGCATCCTTCAGAATAATCGTCAACGCACTAGCACCGGGATTCCAGTCCTCCTCTACCATGCGCGGAAATCGATTCTCATGCATCCACGTCCACGCATCAGAACTAATGATCTTATCCGCTGTCTGGCGTGCATCCAGACCCAATTGCGCGGCCAGTCCCATGGCCTCGCTGGCACCAAGGATGTGGATAGCCGCCAGGACTTGATGTACCATTTTCATGTTACTCCCTGCTCCGATGCCCCCGGGCACAAGGTACAGTTTGCTCGGCGCGGACATCGTCTGCAGTAGGTCGCGACCGCTGTCCAGTGCCTCGTCTGAACCACCTGCCATGATGGAGAGTGTTCCATCCGCGGCGCGTTTGGCACCACCTGACACGGGGCTATCGATGAAAAGGATATCGGCGCGGCCGCGGGATTGCAGTTCGGCCGCGACGGACTGGGCGTAGGAGGCGGGGACGGTGGAACAAAGGAGGAGGATGGCATTTTGGGGGAGGTCTAGAGTGCATTGTCAGTACTTTGCGATAACACTCATTATAACATAGAGATACTATAGCCAGGGCGGAAGGGAGTAAATACATTGCACAA